AGCTATGGAAGATCCCTTTGCCCGTGGTGTCTGTGATGCTGTTGTGATCACGTTGAGTACTGGATATGCTGTTGGTTGCCTTTCAGCTCTTCTTTTGAACACAATTTTGCCAGCAGATGACGAAGAGGAAATCACCGAGGCAGAAGGTCATGATCTGCTTCATAAGGCCACAAAATCGGTCGATGATGCTGAGTCAGCTGAACCAAGCAGTGATGAAAGTGAAGAACTTGCGGCAGTGGAACCTCAAGAAGGATACTACACTTATGAAGAATTCAGCGCCTAGCTGGCTAAGTTGACTATTGCAATTTTTGGTGGAAAGCTTGTGGCTCCCTTTTCCTATCCTCCGATTCCACCATCATTTTGATATTTGTTTGAAGAAAAGAAAGTAAAATTTTAAAAAGAATCATTTTGACCCCTGAAAATCGCGGGATAGACCTGAACACCAATCCGCCTAGCTCAAATAATTGCTGGTGGCGACCTCTTTATTGTTGAAGCACCCGGAGCGGAAGCAGGTTGCATCACGACTACAACGGCAACATCGAATGTTGCTTCTTGACCCACTTCGTCGTCAACTGATGGCGGTTGTGTTTGGCTCCGCATTCCTTAGGCGGTTTGGCTCCGCATTCCTTAGGCGGGCTGATCCCAGGTCTTGACGCTCTCGTCAAGCCACACATCTTTCAAGCCTTTACCCCAATAGGGCCTCGAAACAAACATTGCAATAACGAAAGCTGTGTAGGTCGAGAGTGTGAAGAAGAAAAAGAAGCGATCAACTTGGCGAAGTGAAACCGTGTACACCCATCTCATGGGTCCAAATAGTTCTTTCTCCGTTGCAGGGCCGACGGGCATCGGCTCTTCTGCATGTCGATGTTGCATGTGTTGCTTCAAGGTTGTGAAACCCTCAGTTTTGCGATGGTTGCTGCTGCTCGTTCGTTTCGTCTGGTGAGGAATCGATCCATTGACGGTAGAAAACCGTGCTGTTCGGCGAGAGTTTCGTTCCTCAAGGTAGCTGGCATAATTGTCACAATCGACGCCTCCTGCGTCTTGCTCCTCGAAAGGCCTGCTGGAAATGTCCTCTAATGCTGATTGTTCCTGAAGTGGACGAGACCCAGCGCCGTTGATGGAGGACAAATCACTGCTTTGCCCAACACGATGTTCCTCTTCTTCGTTCTCGTCACGATTGTCCTTACACGTCGTGGACTTTACAAAGACCGAGGCTCTCATTCCATCGTATATGCGCTTCCCTCCCTCAGGTGAGAGCTTTGCTGCCTTGTCTTCTCTCATGAAATACAAATACCCAATGATTACTGATTCGACCAACCCAACAATGACCCAATAGAAGCTCCAACCAATAAACTTGTCAATCCAGAGACGTTCATTGCTAACAGGCACCAGTCCACCAGTCGCAATCTGTTGTGCTACCACCACCAATGCCAAAGCCATACCATAGCTGAGACGTTCGCCAACACGCAGGTCCAACAGGAAGGTTCCCATACTGACATATGTGAGAATAATTGTTGGAATGAGTAGATTGTTGACGTAGTACTTTTGGGACCGTTTGTAATACAGATTGAACCACACAGCCCCCCCTTGAAAGGCATACCCACTCTCCGAGAGCTCTGGCACGGGCAAGTACTCGTTGAAAGTTGCCTCGAACTTGCCCTGTTCCATGCCGGTTCCATTCTTGAGATAGTACCGTATCAGATTTTTGTCTTGTCGCACCCAGGGTCCAAAAATGAACTGACAGCCCAGAGTATCAAAGGGTATCTGGCTCAAGCCTGCAAACTGACAGAAAGCAGCGATGCCTCCATTGCGATTCCATTGCACGTGTCCATCACTGGTAACCAGTGCCATGGTTTCGGGTAGCGACTGCAACCCATCGACTTGGTTATACAAATCAAGATCGGGCACCCACACTTCGGATTTTTCTCGATCGACACCGGCCCACAAGGAGACATACTCGGCACAAGTATCCTCGTCTTGTTCCCACTGTAATCGTTCATCGGTCCATTCCAAATAGAGACTCATTAATATTTTGGCCGTGCCGGCCTGCACGTCGATTTTCTCCACCGCATGCGTTTCCAAGGTGACCGTCACATTCAAGGGAACGTGGTTGGCCGGGATGGGTGGAACGGCCGGATCGTAGTTTTGAAATATCGTATGTCGAATGTTGGATTCGCACTGATACCGTGACACAGATCCCTCGCAGCACTGCGCGTAGAGAAGGCGAATGCCACTAGATGCGCAGTCGTCCAGCGCCACAAAGTTCTGCGCCAGGCTTTCCAGTTCTCCACACGTCAAATTATTGGACAAAAGAGAAGGCAGTTCCTCGTCGGGAGGAAAAAGTGGAATCTTATCGGCCATGACTCTGGAACCACGGCAGATGGAACACGAGGAGGCATTATAAGGCGCTTGTGCCTGCAGCAACCGGGGATTATCCAACGCGTGCGAAGGAATGGCAATGGATGTTGTCACTCTGGGGCGCAGTCGCTCCTGCATGTGCGCCAATTGATCCACAGTGTTGCTGATCTTGGGTCGTCGTGGCGCTGACACTGCTGCTGCGCCCAGCAGCAGCGACAGAAGAGTCAATAGGAGCATTGTTTGTTGATTGTGGAGGTACATGATAGCTTAAAAAGAGCCAATTGTTCAAGTGGGATGAAATGATCAAGTACTTAGTAGTACCTGGTACCTGGTAGTGGAGGGAGGACTTTCTGTCAATCTGTCAATGTCAAAAGTCAAAGCTGGTCGTAAGACCGCAACGCCTTGAAATTTTTCAAGCCAGCAGAGACACCATTTTAAAGCAGCAAGGCGGGTACAATACCTTTCGTGAGAGTATGTTGCGTGGGTGGAGTGTTGCCTGAGTGACAGTCGAGTCGAGTCGAGTCGAGTCGAGTCACTCAGTCATGGTGGTTCCAGGAAGGCCCCGTCATACGACTGATATCCCGACTAAGGTTTTAAAGTCGCGTCGGATCGCTGAAAGTCGTTCACAAAGTCGCGTGCGAGTCGCACGCGACTTTAACACGAGATCCATGGGTGGACCCTTAGATTTTGCTCTAGAATTGGTGGAAAGTCACCAAACCAAGCCATTAAAATAGGTAGGGGTAACCCATTGGAGACTATATATCAATTCTATTACATGTATGGTGGGCCCCCACAATGTTGGTTCACATGAAAATCTGAGTTGCCGTCACTGGGAGCGCCATGGTCGAGGTTTGTTTTCTTGTTTTGTGGGAGGCTTTTCAAGCTGTTGCACCGGAAGCAGGTCAATTTCGCTTGCTGATGGCGATAGTAACTTGCACAACAGAGAAGTCAGCCTCTGCAAACTCAGCCGAGCCCTCCTACGGTAGCTTTGGCTGTACCAGGTATCAGGTATCCATAGTCCAGCCACCGAGGCTACTGTACGTACGGAGTAGTTGAAACTCGCAAGATCCACCTTCTGTTGACGACCAATGGATTGTTGTAGTATTATCAGTAATAGCGGTCGCTGTTGTTGCTGTCAATTTAGTGGTACACTCGTAGCGCATTGTTCGGTTGCTTTGGTCGTTGTGTTGTTGACTGGCAAATTTGCTGTAGTGGCTGCTCCGGTAGGGGATCCTGCCTGTTGCTTTGATAAGAATGCACTCTTCTAGCGATATCGACGACCAATTGGTTTGTTGTTAATAGTAGTAGCAGTAGTCTTGTTGCGACTGTTGCCATTCCTCTTCTGGCGACAGCCTGTTGTTGTTGCCATGGTAGCGGTAGCTTCGTGCATGGTAGCGGTAGCTACCGCAGCTGCGGTAGCTTCAGCTGCGGTAGCTTCGTTAGTTCGCTCGCAGCTGCGGTAGCTTCATTAGTTCGTTCGTTGATTCTTGTTGTCCTCGCGAACTCCACGTAGGTGTAGGCTGTTGCCGATTCTGTGCTGTTGTTGTAGCGGTAGTCGTTTCCTTCGTCGTTTCCTTCGATCTTCTCGTAAATTCACTCCAAACCGATGGATGCAGCTCGTTCCGCGTTCCGATTGTTGACATCGCCTTCATGGTAGCTTCTCTTGTCGTCGAGGCAACTCGCTGGTCGATAACAACCGTCAACGATAACAACAAACACGCTGCGGTCCACCGAAGGTGTCGAGTGGTGGCAGGTGGTGGCAATGGACAATGGACAACCTCCTCTCGCCGATGGGCTCCAGCATGATCCAGACAACCTTTGAGCACCAAACCAAGTGCTCTATGTTCCTTTTTGAGGTGTTAGAAGCGATCGGAACGGCTTATTTGGGTACCCCTACCATTGTCGCTGTTGTGAAAGTGCGCTTTTCCGCCAAAATAGCGAAAAAATTTAAGGGTAGAGTTATGGATCTCGTGTTAATACGACTTTTCAAACTACTTTCAGCGACCCGACGCGACTTTGTCACCGTGTTCATAGTAAACTTGCGCGACTTTCAAAGTCGTGCGAGAAAGTTGCATGCGACTTTCATGCGAATCTCACGCGACTTTCTGTACGACTTTTGATGCGACTTTGGAGCTACTCTGCGACTTTTGGCTCCTAGCAGTCGCATGACGGGGCCTTCCAGAAAGTTAGCTTTGGCCTTTGGGTCCCACCACCGCGTCGAAAAGTTTTAGGGGGGGTTAGGCATCGGCGCGGGGGAGGGAAGAGGAGGACGAGAAAAGAGAGAGTGAGGGTTAGATTCCAGGTTCCGGTTTTGGGAGGGGTATCTGCATGCGTGGAGTCATCATCCCTAAACAAAGGATGACTCAAGATATAACAAACATGGGGGATAGGGCAAGAAAGTTGGGGAAGCCATAATTGTTGTGACGTATCGCGGCAGTTACATCATGAAGTGTCAGCACTGAGACGTCCTCTCAGACATCCATTTGGTTGGTCTCACACTGTCTCGAAATTCAAATCTACTATCCGTTATTTTTTTCTGGCCCGGGTTTTCCCTTCCTTCGCTGCCACCAAACCCTCCACGAAACTCATTATTCGGCTATTGATTTGGGTATCACGGTACATTTATTTTATTTCATTTGCTGCTGCTACTACACTAGGAGTTAACAGCATACCCATGCATTCGAAAGCGACAATGAGGATGGTGTGGTGGTCGGCCAACCCTTCTACTCAACCAATTGATGTACGGCGTGCAGCATCCCCTTTGTGGTGGTCGGTAAGCTGGCGGAAAGGCAGGGAGAATGGCACGAAACTGTTGTTGCATTTGGAGCATCGCCATCTGCTGCTGCATGATTTGGATTTGTTGCTGCTGCTGCTGTTGTTGCTGCTGTTGCTGCTGCTGTTGTTGCTGCTGCTGCGGTTGTTGCTGCTGTTGCTGCTGTTGCTGCTGTTGTTGCTGACGCCGCTGTTGCTGCTGTTGAACAAGTTGACGGCATCTACTTACATAATTGTTCGTCGTCGTTGTTGTTGTTGTTGCTGCTGCTGCGGCAGTTGCAGGAGGACGGACCGGTGATGGAGCACTATTTGAATTTGAATCTTCATTTAATGGTGGTGGTGATGCCGGTGGTTCCGGTTCCATGCACAACTGACACAAACAACAATCATTCGGTGCATACTTTTGGCGATGGGGTTTGAATTGCGTGAGATACTCAGAGAAAAATCGCTCCCCATTATCCTTCGCCAATGGTTCTGCGTAGGGAAAGGGAGGGGTTGATATGCCAACTGCTGCCGCCATTTTATTGAGAAAGGCAAGTTCGGTGTGGTTCCAAAAAGGCACAACCTTCTCCCATGCCGCTGGAATTAACTTCCTCTGCTCTTCGCCAATTCTTGACAGAAACGCTCGCTTGTGCCGAATCGACAGGTTGTATCGAGCCGTGCCACAAAGGTTGAGAGCGCCAGCGAGAGATGCTCTCATTCCACTGTTGGCAAAGTGTGCGAATCGGTCATGGAAAGCCTCTAACTTGGATTCGCCTCTCCTTGAAAGATACTCAGGCAGCTGGTGCTTGGCATTTGGTGAAGGTGAGATTCTGTCATACATTCGATCGAGTGGGAGCGGATCTGCCAAATACTGGGCCTTCCCAATGCAATTTTCCACAGCAGACTTTGTGTCGGATGTAAACAGGGTTACCTTTCGAGCTGGATCAAGGCGACCTTGGGCTGGCTGAGAATCGTCACTGGAAGTCACCTTGTATCGACAGAACCACTGCTGAAGATTTTGCCTCATTGTCTCCGGTTCTCGCATCTTCTTCCGCAGGTATTTAGAGTACCGGTCACGGAAGATCTTCGAAGCTTGCATATCCGAGATATCTTGAAGGGAGTAACATCTTCCATTGACAGACAATGTCCCAGTCTTCAGTGCATGGAGGAGTTTCTCCAAATCGGCAGGTTCGTATTCATAAAGGCAATTCAAAAGATCAGTGATGGCTTGCATGTAATCAACATGACACTTCCGCAGAGTACTAATGATTCTTTTTTCGAAATGAAACAGGCCCAGCCTTCCTTCGATGTCAGGAAAAAGAACTTCCCAATAGTCATTCTTATTGGGCCAAGTATCACTGTACATTGCAGCTGGATTGAAGATGTCTCTCTTGGCTAACTGTGTTGCGGCATGAGAGAAGTGGATGGTCTTGGTAGAAGGAACCAGAACTGCCGATGCTATCTCTCCTGTCTCCGTGGCCGCATCCCACACCGCAACAGCAGAAAGACTCTTCCGGTAATTCTTGACAGGTTGGAATGTGTGGTCCTGGCAAAAGATTCCCTTCTCACACTTAACTCCCTGTATCTCTCTTGTATGGCGCTCCTTGTCACTGATCAGCCAAGGATTCCTGTTAGTAGCAGCGGCTTCATCAAAAATGTCTCTGATGGTATCACCCAAGGGAGGAAACAATCGCATGTAAGTCCCATCCTTGGAAATAAATGGCTCCGTGGGATCCTTTGAAGGATACTGTCTCATGTAAGAGTAATAAGAGGCCATTCGATTGATGTACTCTCGGTTCATCGCATTGTACATGAGTCGGCTGCAGAGTTCTCCATTGCCGTAAGAGAGCATTATCATTTCGAAAGTGTCCGTGGAAGCTCTGTCAAGGTGAGAAGACTTGGACGCCAATGCATATTTTGAATCCACCGGATACATCAATGCAGCATGTCGAGGTATGAGAGCCAACACTTCGGCAGAGTTAGCTTGGAATCGCCTCTTACAACAGCTGCAAACCATTGACATCACAATACACCAGGACGGGCAACCATGTAGGCCGAAGATTGGAAAGAGAGTCTTGTTCTTGGACCAATTCGTCCTTGCATTTACCATTTTCCCAGAACACTTGATGTCAGGACAAGGTACAGTAATATCACACTTGCTCCAGTCCACAAGAAGGAGTTTCTGACCAATGATCGAATGATAGTGTGGGCAGTTTGTGACTGTAGATTCTGGAACAGTGAATGTTAAGCCCTGAAAATGCTTCCTGAAGGCTTGGTCGTCCCGTGGTCTGATGACCATGTCAGCAACGATCTGTGCAACTGCAATCATGGCAAGTGGAGCGCTCTTCGTGTTATGCTGTTCGACAAAAGAATCGTCCTTAACCATTGCTGTTACCTTTTTACAGAGTAAATTAGGAGACAAACTGGTGCCCATCTTTGGTTTGGGTTTCGCGGTGGCCGCAGCCACGGCAGCAGCAGTCGCGGCAGGTTCTCTTGGAGCAAAGAAGATCTCACCAGCTTCCTTGGTTGAATGTCTCCAGCTTCCCCTTTCTTCGGGAGTCAGAGGTTTGGTGAACAATGCTTGGAGACGTTGCTCTTCTTGTATGCAGTCCAGTGACAGTTTATTCAAGTCACCGTGACCTTTCGTTTTGGTGTTCTTCAAGCACCGACTGTGGTGTGCTCTTTTGGGAACTCGAAGACCGTAGTGTCGGGCTTTGCAGATCTTGCAGTCTTTCAAAGGGTCGAAGATGTCGGCAGTCTCCCCAGCCAGGTTTGATTGCTTGCTTCTCTTTGGTGGGTTGTTACTTCCGGCAAGTTGATATCCTCTCTTTTGTTGCGAATTTCTCTGCTGGCTTTGTCTACCCATTTCTTTATTTTGTGGCAATTCTTCAGGGTTTCGCCCTTCATTGGTGGTGGTAACAGTGGGTGCTGAGGCCATGGTGGATCTTTTCGCTCTTGAACTTGCAATTTTGGCAGAGTTAATGAAATGACGGCTTGGATGGCCATGGTCGCATTGGCCGGCTGATGGAATCTTTATTTTCTTTTCCGAAGAATAGAAAATAGATAACTTGGTAGCACATTGTCTCTTTTGGTATGTGTCATGTAAGCGTCACTAGTCGTTAAGTGTTGCTGACATATACATTTTTCTTAGCCAATCACATCACTGCCTTCTACCGCTTAAAATCCGTCGCGGAACGACAAACCTCCAGCTCGTGCTCGTACGGTAATGGTGCTGTACCGAATGATCATCTGATCCAAACATACCGAATGATCTGATCCACACCTTCGCCCTATTAGTAATAGCACAAATATTCCAAGCATCAGCTCAACAAAAGAAGATTTGCCTGACATCCCTCGAATCCAAACTCAGCTTACACCAAAGAACAGTTAGTTAATTACCAGTGGCTACCCTACCTTGCAACAATGAACCAACACACCACTTTTGTTGTTTGCCTGTTGACTTTTCTTTTCTGGGAGAGTTGGTCCCGCTCTTTGTTGAGTCTCTTTGGGGTCCACTTCTGGGATCGTCAGCATGTATTGGAAATTATCCATTCCAACCCTGTTGGACTCTACAACAGCACCGCCTTTGCAGAGATTGCAGAGACCCAATATTCTCCACGCCGATACATTTACCTGCTTCCGCATATCATAGGTGCCATCATTTGGTGGAATCTGTACTTTTTGCAGCTCATTCCCAAAGTTCGGCATGCCTTCAACAAGAGATTGCATCGCTGGTTGGGACGGCTCCTCATGGTCACTGCCTGCATGCAAACCAGCAGTGGTGTAGGGTTGGCCTTGACATCCCATTCCAAGATCATTCCTATTGTCAGTGGCTTTTTGGCATTAGCAGTCTTCTATTGTGTTTATCATGCTTGGAAGTATGCCATTCATAGAGACATTCCCCGACACAAGTATTGGGTGTTCAAGGTGGTTGGGTACTTGCAGACCATCGCATTGCAGAGGATCTTTTTAATGCTGTTGATCACCACACATCAAATGGGCTGGTACGGGCTGTACCCAGATCTTGGGGAGAATAGCACACTGGAGGAAGCTAATGATGTGGTGTTGGACATGTTTGATCACTCCTTTGTCTTTGCCATCTTCACTGTCATGCTGCTCACGGAATGGTACATTGCTGGGGAGCAAGGTATGATGGAAGCTCCTGAACCCAGCCAAGGATATGCCACTGACAAATCAAGCCAAAGTGTGACAACAAAACCACCGACTGTGAATGAAAAACAACAGCCATTGCTGTCTGGAAGCTAGCCCCAAAAGGGGGCCTGCACCTACTAACAGGTTGCTAGCTAGTAGGATGTAGTATTGTAAATTGAATGTCATCCTTTTAGATTTTTAAATTGCCAGCAACTACATATACGAGGTTTTCTGTTAATATGTGCAGCTGATCCAATAGCAGGTGATCATCACAAAAAGCCGTCACCATCATTAGTCGAGCCAGTCCGGCTGTAGATCCAGGTGAGAGACGAACCGGTGATGCCTGGCTTTTGTTTCCCTTCAGCTGCACGCAATCTTGCTGGCTTTCAATGAGGAATGGTGTGGGTCGCACGGACCTCATCTCGGAACAACCTGGAACCTTGAAGCCTTTCAACTCGTGCTTGCACCGCGCACTGATGATACCACCGAATGAAGAGGGTTGCTCAGATGATCCATCAGAAAGGGGCTTGATCTGATAATAGTGCAAGCATCGGCACAAGCAAAAACGAAAGAGGATTTGCTTCACATCCCTCAAATTTCAGGGACAGTTAGTTATTTGCCAGCAACAATGAACGGACGCACCATTTTCGTTGTTTGCTTGTTGACTTTTCTTTTCTGGGAGAGTTGGTCTGTCTCATTGGCGAGCCTCTTTGGAATCCACTTCTGGGATCGTCAACATGCATTGGCCATTATTCATTCCAACTCTGTCGGACTCTACAACAGCACGGCCTTTGCAGAGATTACAGAAACCTACTATTCCCCCCACCGGTACATTTACTTGCTTCCACATGTCATAGGTGCCATCATTTGGTGGAATCTGTACTTTTTGCAGCTCATTCCCAAGGTTAGACATGCCTTCAACAAGAGATTGCATCGCTGGCTGGGACGACTCCTCATGGTCACTGCCTGTATGCAAACCAGCAGTGGTGTAGGATTGGCCTTGACATCCCATTCCAAGATCATTCTAATCGTCAGTGGCTTTTTGGCATTAGCGGTGTTTTATTGTGTCTATCATGCTTGGAAGTACGCCATTCATAGAGACATTCGCCGACACAAGTATTGGGTGCTAAAGGTGGTTGGTTACTTGCAGACCATTGCATTGCAGAGGTTCTATATAGTGCTGTTGATCACCACGCATCAAATGGGATGGTATGGGCTGTACCCAAATCTTAGAGAGAATAGCACACTGGAGGAAGCTAATGCTGTGGTGTTGGACATGTTTGATCACTCCTTCGTCTTTGCCATCTTCACTGCCATGCTGCTCACGGAATGGTACATTGCTGGGGAGCAAGGTATGATGGAAGCTCCTGAACCCAGCCAAGGATATGCCACTGACAAATCAAGCCAAAGGGAGACAACGATACCGCCGACTGTGCATGAAAAACAGCCATTGCTGTCTGGAAGATGTACCCAAAAAGGGGCCTGCTCCTAACAGGTTTCTAGCTACAATAGGATGATGTCTTGTAAAAATTGAATGCCATCCTTTTAGATTTTTGAATTGCCGCCAACTACAGGTACAACATGTTTTGTATAAACGCGGCTGATTCCAATAGAAGATCTCAGTCAACCAAAAATCCGTCACCACCACAAAAAGGGCCAATACAGCAGCTTCCTTCGCCGTCTAAAGCCTAGAACAGAATGGAGCTGCAAAAGAGAAGCTGCAAGCAAACGCTAGCTAGTAGTGCACCTGGGCTCTTATACACTCTTCCTCAAGAGATGCCGAACTTTTCGCATGGCAGGAACGTAACAGTAATCCAATCCTACAGGGATTATGAACAAAAGACCAATATGAGTTGCTGCATGGCCACTCCAACAAACCCAGTCAACCAAGTACGGGACGGTGGCCACTTACCAGGAATACCAAGACCAAGACACCCAGGAACTGCATCATTTGTGCCAACGTCTCGCTCACGGCAAACCAATCCATCCTCACATTCGAAATCCGAATCACAATCCTATTCAACAAAACAGGAACAAGCAACATCATGAGTTATTTTGGCTGAATCATCCACAAGTGACAGTCTAGCTGTGCAGCAGATACGTACACCTTCGCAGGTTGAACCTGCAGAAAGTCAGGTAAAATCAAAACTAGGTTAGTGCATGTACGGGTTACCAACCAATACTACAAGATTTGCACAACTTACAGGGATTGGTCTCGGAACATTGCTGATCGCGAATTATGAGTGTCCCGTCGGCAAAAACAATGCAATAATCGCTGCCTGTGGTGTGGAAAGCATGGAAGTTTGTGGATTCAGGTACTAGAGACTGGAGTGATTTGTGCATTTCCATGTATACACCAAGAAAATGAACGCTTACCTGGGACACCTTCCCCAGAGCAACCTGGTACTGTTGATGTATCGTCGCCAGGTCTGCACGGCAATGTGAAGTATCGAAACTGTATGAGGACAATGGAAGCTCCAAACAAATCGATTTAGTGCCTAAAACAGCTCACCTTTTGTAGCAAATCAATCCATCTTCACAGTCATTATCCGAATTGCAATCCTGAAGAAGAACAAAATGGTTTCGGTCAGGCTTACGCTCTCATTGACTATGAACGCTGCACAAGTACTGGTACGTACTCCTTGGCAGAGTCCACATGGTGTCTCCATCGAACAATCTGCCTCGTCGCTAAGCGGCAAGTCGGCAGGACCTGGACCAATTGGGAGCCCCATCTCTGGTTCCCCAGGAGCACCTGTCATGTCTGGGACATCTGTCATGTCAGGCTCTCCTGGAGCATCGGTCTCCTCTGCGTCGGGCTCTTCGGGAGCATCGGTCTCATCAGGCGCACCGGTCTCTACGTCGGGCTCTTCTGGAGCTTCGGTTTCCTCTTCAGGGCCAGGAATTTCTGGTCCTGGTTCTACAGGTAGTTCACCAACTGCGACAGTTTCTGCTTCTGTGGGCGCAACTGTCTCGGCGGGAGCCTCGGTTTCCTCTCCATCATCGGGTGCAGGGGCGTCTGTTTCCTCAGCAGGGGCGTCTGTTTCCTCGGCAGGTGCGTCTGTTTCCTCAGCAGGAGCTTCTGTTTCCTCGGCGGGTGCTTCTGTTTCTTCGGCAGGGACATCTGTTCCTGGTGCCTCTGTTTCTTCTCCCTCAGCTTCAGATTCTGCTTCCGTGGGTACGGCAGTCTCAGGTCCCGGAGTTTCCAAACCAGCTGAGTCGACAGCAGTGAGTTGATACCCAGTGTAGTAATAGATAGACACACCATTGGTATTTTCAATCACAACGGTAACATCTAGAGGCATGTTTGCACTCTTGGCGTCAACGCTGAGAGTCCCTTCGATGATTGTCTTGTCCTCTGCGTTCGTGTGAGTTACACCGCCAACTTGGAAATTTTCGCAAGCTGAAGCTGGCTGGACAATGTCCAGATCTGATTTGATGGATTCTACGGTGTCCACACCAGAATCACCGCCACCAAGACGAACCAAAAAGCCTCTGTAGATGCCATCAGTTATTTCCAAAGTCCACGTGTGCATGTCACCGACGGTGATTTCATTGGGCTCTCCCACGGCGAGTGATCCCCCATTTACTTCAAACTGGAGTTGACCTTCTTCTAGCGATCCAGTGGTCACGGTAGGGAAACCCAAGTGAGGACCTCCCACTGCGGCACGAGCTTCAGGACAATCTCCCGCACCGCCTGGGAAGGCACCCACAGTGCCGAAAAGGGGCGTAACGACCGCGGCAAGTAGCACAGAATCAATCTTCATGGTGAATGGTGTCCTTTTTTAAAGCAAACAGTTTGACAAAGTTGCCGATTCGTCCAATTGCAAGACAGAAAGGATATGAGGCCACCGCAAAGGGTACCTTTCCCCAACTTTTGTCCTTCCCTACTAGAGTGTCCCAGTACCAGACCAGACAGATATTCCGAATTTCAACTGGCAAGCTTCTTTCTCCAACAGTATGTATATCTGGCCAGGACTAGCTCAAAGTACAGAGCGCAGAGCAATGATCACGGGTCTTCTAATTGTGGGAGCGGTTACAGCAGTCTAAATGTGACAAGCAACGGCCAGATGCAACCGTACGCCAACCTTACAAAGACGATGCAACTTTCTTTGTATTTTTGGCCAACATGTGAACGTTGTCATAGCTTTTCTTGACAGCAAGCGAGCCAGTCCCAGTTGTTGAAAGGGTTTCTCTCAGCTACTATTACCATAGATATAGATGTCAGCATCAGCGGCACCCTACAAAAAGACCTCCTTCCCACCCGAGCTACGATTGGGGAAGAGAGTTGGATCAGAGGAAACGGGGAGCAAGACGTACTAACTAATGCAAGACATTGGCTACTTGCTAGCTAGCTTTGTCTATGCGAACATGTTTTATAATACAACATCTATCTGAAACCAGTTGACGTTTCCAACCTACCCAACACAAACTCTTGGGCAACTCAGTCGTCCGTAATATTGGATGTACACTTCTGCCAGTCCACACTTCTCTACCAATCCAACATGTACTGGAGCCAACCCTCTACCAACATCGACCACAATGCACATTGAGAAGCTGGTTGCTGTAGGTAGGTCAACTCGTCGATTGGTAAAACAGCCACATGTTCCGTTGGTTATGACGATTTCCCGGCAACTAATCAGTGCTTTGGCCGTTTTCTCAGCAAGCGACGGCTACTACCAGGCGGTGCAAAGCAGTAGTCCAATCCTTTATCAAGAAACGAAACAAGAGAATGAGTTCGGTCCAGGGATACCTTGTTCATGAGCATCTACCAGCTCCTCCACTCTCCACGAACTCACCTGGAATTCCGCTGCCCAGGCAACCAGGCATTTCTTCCATACCGTCACGTTCCTGACAAACCAGGCCAGGGGAGCAGTCGCTGTCCGTGTCGCAGTCCTACAGGCATGGTATAGTACGTGACTCCAGTAGTGAGAATGTTGATATCAAGAGTCATGAAAAAGAAGAGAAGGACCAAGTATACTCACGCCAAAACAGATTCCACAAGGGGAAACTGCGGAGCACGATACAGCACTAAGTCTAAGCGTGTCTCCCAGTGGCTGGAAGCAATAGTCTGTTCCTGGGCTTCCACTTCCAGAACACCCAGGCACCGGAGATCCATCAATTCCGGGCCTGCACGCCACGCGAACAGATCCAATCAATTAGATTCAAAACGGTGGTCACCAGCTCAGAGGCAAAGGCGATACAATTTGCCTACCTTAGGAAGCACAACAACCCATTTTCGCAGTCGTCATCTGTATCACAGTCTCCCATACATCTGATAGGACAGGATTGAGACTCCAAAGTAAGAACACAAATATACACTATGAAGCGACGACAAGGACTCATACCTGGCGCATGGTACGAACGGGTCGTTGCATCCCTCCACATCCAGGAGTGGTGGATCTGTTGCGGGATCACTAGTTTCGGCAGACATGATTGGGGTTTCAGGAGGGAAGCTGCTATCATTTGGGGGCATTGGGGGCAAAGAACCTAGCTCAACATCGTTGGGTATCATCGTGCCATTCGCAGCTTCACCTTCTATAGTGGGCGATACAGCAACCCCGTCAGTCTGTGCAAAGTATGGACCAGATGGATGGACGTAGTCCGTCACATAGACTTCGTAGTCAGCTTGTTCAATTGTTTCAACGACATCTTCTGATGGCGGAACAGATAAGAATGCAATGTCCAGTGTGATACTGATCTGGTATTGACGATCATCCAATGGGCCATGGGGAACGGTCAGAGGAATCATTGTATCGACCAGACTATCTGGGTAAACATCAAAGAAGAGCTCCACGTAGAACTCGCATGTGTTTTCAATGAGGTTGTCCACTTCTGCATCAGTTGGCGATGTGACTTCTTGTACCCGCCGGCGCCGTTGTTGACGCTTGCAGGCCGACCTAGAGTCGTTCTGCTTCTCCCTCTTTCTTTTCTTCCTCTTTGAGTTGTCCCATGTTTCTTGATCATAGCCCAATACAGCTGCATTTTCTTGCTGTTCGGGAGTAAGGTCAGCCCAAAACAAGTCATCCACGGGGATTGGAATCCCATTGTCCCAGGTCATTTGATCATATCTTTTTTATTGAACGTTCCACAGCAAAATGTGATGTAAGGAAGATATAATCACACATATCCTTTTGATGCTTTGTTTGTACATACCCTAAGGCTTCGGCAGCTGCACGGGCCTCTGGTGGTAGGTCGTCCCAGGATAAGTCATCATAGAAGCCACCTGTGGGAGCATCTGTGGCAGCCATCATGATAGTTTCAACTCCACCCATTAGAACATCCGAAGGAGCTGTTGTTTGAACTCCAGCTGTGGGAACACCTGTAGCACCAGCAGTGGTTTCGGCGGCAGTGGCTTCTTCTGTGCTTGTGAGGGTGGGTGCAGTTGTGGACTCAGCCTCTGCATTGTCCCACGATTCTTGATCATAGCCCAATACGGCTGCAGCTTCTTGCTGTTCAGGAGAAAGTTGAGCCCAAAACAGTTCCACCGCAGGGATTGGCAGTCCATTGTCCCAAGTATTTGGGTCGTATCTTTTTGTTCAGAGGGGACATCAAATGTAAGAAAGATCCAAACACACAACCCTCTAGCCATTGTTGGTACATACCCTAATACCTTTGCAGCTGCTTGTACTTCTGGTGGTAACTCTTCCCAAGCAAAGTCATCGTAGAATCCTGGTCCGGCCTGGCTGGATGTTGCCTCTGCGCTGCTGCCAGTGGGTGCAGGAGTCATATTTGCAGGCTCTCCGTTATTATCAACGACAAAGATAACGTCAACGTCGATAAAATAGATGATGTCAATATTGACCCTGATCGTTTCACCCTGAGACGCAGCTGTCGTCGCAACTGTCGGCACAACAGTGTCGGAAGCTGTCCCTCCTTCCGTTGCATCCTCTGTTGGGACGGCTGTTTGAGCAGGTAGAGTGAACGCTCCAAGCGGCTCACTTTCTACAATGGTTGGCATCACAGTGCCATCTGAATCTTGGGAAGTTTCGTCTGCGGTAACAAGCTGCGTCTCTGTCTCGGTAGGCGCCGCTGTGTCGACAGCCTCTGCACTTGTAACTTGCTGCGTCTCCGCTTCAGTAGGCGCTACCGTGCTCCCGGTTGTTTCTGACACAGTCTGTGCCTCTGTGGGCAATACAGTAGCCATTTCTGTGACAGCCTGGGTTTGTGCTTCTGTAGATGCTGCTGTTTCCGCTGCTGTGGCAGCCTGTGTTTGTGTTTCTGTGGGTGCCACTGTGTCTGCTGTTGTGACAGCCTGGGTTTGTGCATCTGTTGATTCTAAGGTTTCTGCTACTGTGACAGACTGTGTTTGTGCTTCAGTGGGCGCTACTGTCGCTGCTGCCGTGGCTGCCTGTGTTTGTGCTTCTGTGGATACTATTGTGACTGCCTGAGTCTGTGTTTCTGTGGATGCTGCTGTTTCTACCATTGTGAATGCCTGTGTTTGTGCTTCAGTGGGTGCTACTGTGGATGCTGTTGTGGATGCTGTTGTGACTGCCTGGGTCTGTGCTTCTGTGGATGCTATCGTTGCTGCCGCTGTGGCAGCCTGGGTCTGTGCTTCTGTGGGCGCCACGGTTGCTGGCGGAACCGTTTGAGCCACTGTCTCAGAAACTGTTGCTATTTGCGTGGGGATCATGGTTGCCGACGCTAAGTTGGGCTGATAACAATAGTCCAGCCCGTCAATACCCTGCCCTGAGCAACCAGGAACTGGGGATGCATCGTTGGGTGGTCTACCGTACGAGAGCAGGAGTCGAAGGGGGCACTTTGAGATCAAACGATCAAATTGCCCTCACCAGAAGCATCCATAATTCCATCAAACCTACCTAACAAAACAGGACAACCCTTCTGCACAGTCGAGGTCGCTATCACAGTCTCCAAAACATCTTAATGAAAAGTTAAATGTTGAGCAGACGTCTCATGAACACACTCTTCTTACTGTACCATACAAGGAGGAGACATCTCTTACCTTAAGCACTTTGTGACTGGATTGCAGTCGGTTTCCCTGAGAGGTAACCTGTCCTGGGGTTGTATGCAGTAGTCAATTCCGGGTATCCCTGGGTTTCCAGAGCAGCCAGGGATGGCAGTGGTGTCGTTTTCCGATCTACGAGATCTACAAAAGGAAATCGGAAGGTCTGAGTTTGATACCGGTATCCAGTCCACACAAAGTCAGCCCATCGATCAACAAACGTACCTCTGGTAGCACTGAAGACCATCAGCACAGTCGCCATCAGAGTTGCAGTCGCCAAAGCATTCCCTGCAGGGTTCTCTGCTATTACAGTCAGCAATCGTCAGGACCGGGGAACTCTGTCTTGGACTTGCAAAGTCGTAGAAATCATAAGTTGCGCATTCGTATGGGCCTAACAGCGCTAGCAGCAGGATACCCAGCTGCAATCGAAGCATCATGGTTGAATTGAATTGAATCTGCTTAATTCTTGGTGGGGCCACTTCCTCTCCGCCTTCCTTGCACATGCAGCTGTCAAGAATACCAGGACAATGAAGGCCACATTAACACCCTGTTAAAAGAACGGAAGGGAGGCCGTTTCTGGTGACTTATGCTGAAAATGGCCATTATGCTGAAAATAATGGTGGGAGCTGCCAAACAGGCACCAGTCGTACATCGTACTGGTACGGTACCATTGCGAAAGAAGAACACGATGCCTTTGACCCAGCTTCCTAATCTCCAAAAGGAGCTGTTCTAATCGGGAAACGAGAGCCGGACGGTCGCCGATTTGGGTCCACAATTTTTTTTAAAATCTATTTTTTAGTGAAGGTCCGTCGAGTTAGTTGTCGAGCCTGATCCCACTTCATGACACTTTCCTTCTCACTCATTAATACGATAGCTAGTGCCGAGTTAAATCATGGTCCGATATCTAGCTTCGTGTCTGCTGCTGTTAGCAAGCCGTGATGTGGCGTTTGCGGTTCAAGACCGTGTGCTGCAAGATGGTACAGTCATGCCCTCCATGCTGGATACAACTAGTCTCCCCCTTGTAACGGATGCTCCAACATTGGTGGACACTCCCCCATCAACTACTGGCCTTCCTATGGAAACTGAATCTCCTGCTGATTCCACTGATGAGCCCACGGAGATTGACCCTGCAACTGAGGCTCCTACAGAAGAAGGGACCATTGGAGAGACAGTTGCTGGCAGCGACGTTGTCCTGAATGTAGAGAAAGCTGGGGATGGCACAGTAGCTCCAACAGGAGAGGGCACTCTATATCAGACTGCGGCCGAAACCCCTGCTGAAACTGTGGTGGAAACCCCTGCTGCAACTGTGGCAGAAACGCCCGCTGAAACTGTAGTGGAAACTCCTGCTGCAACCGTGGTGGAAACTCCTGCTGCAACTGTGGTGGAAACACCTGCTGCAACTGTGATGGAAACACCTGCTGCAACTTTGGTAGAAACACCTGCTGCAACTGTGGTGGAAACGCCTGCTGCAACTGTGCCTGAAGAGCTTGGAGATGCCCTTGATGATCTCGGGGATGTTTTGGAAGATGTGATTGAAGACGAGGCTGAACTTCAAACACCACCTCCTACAGAGACTGATGCACCAGTATCTGACACGATTGCACCAACTGAGAGTGAAACTGTGGCAGATGTCGTCACTGATGTGCCTGCCGATGAAGAAACAATTTCACCCACCGAAGGAGAAACTTTGGGAGGAACCGACGACGCGCAACTTACATCGCCTCCTGACGAAGGCGATGAAGGCACCGGCGATGTTTTCCAAGGCCCGCCCTTGTCAGACGCCGAGTGTTCGCCAGATGATCCTTGCGGAGAGTGTTTCGGCGATTGCAATGTCGACGAGGACTGCGGAGATGGCCTTGAGTGCTTCAGACGTGTTGGCCTGGAAAACAATCCAATTCCGGGATGCTCGGGAACTGGAAACCCTGGTAAGTTCTTGTCGTGATTGATAGCAATCAAACTGTCAGATCTTTCTCATGAAACTTGCTAAACAATGATATGCCCTGCAGGACAAGACTACTGCTACAAGCCCGCAGCAAACCATCTACGAATTCGTGACATCCAATGCTCTGAATCGTCCCCCTGTGATGCATGCGAAGGAGTAGGTCAATATTCGTGCGCTGTCGGTTGTCAATGAGTGTCTAAGCCTGACACAACCATTGTTTTCCTCTACAGGATTGTGATTCTGACTTCCAATGCAAAGGTGACCTATCTTGCTTTCAAGCCAGCCGAGGAGAGTCCACTACAGTACCTGGATGCATTGGAACGGGATCAGTGGGCATTGATTTCTGTTACAACTGGAATGCATGTGACACGGACAGTGATTGCCCCCAACTGCCCTGCGATAGTGAACCATGTGATCAGATTGTATGCGATGATGGAGAGTGTGTTGCAGTGGAGGCATGTGGTCCGAACGTTTGTGGTGTACGTCATTAGCTAAGCCAATTGTTCTGCGAGAATTTTCAGTCGCCGCAATGACTCGACTCACTTTTTCGATTCGACTTTGGCTTGCCTTCTTGGAATGAGTAGGCAGGAGAATATTGCTGCAACGAGTCCTGTGGTATCTGTTCTCCCCTCGATGGAGGCTGCATTCAGAGTATCTGCGAGCCATGTGGCCCCACCGTATGCCAGGTACGCATGCACAAGGTAGACTTGCCGATATGAACTTACAACACACCTCACATCTTCCATGTCATTGCATGAAACCACGGATGTCTATGCAGGGTGGAGATGTCTGCTGCAATGAGTCTTGTGGTATATGCACGGCTCCGCAGGATCCCTGCACTCAGCAAGAATGCATCGATGGTGAAGAGGAGGAGGTGTTGGAGGAGGAAGAGGAGGAATTGGAGGTTGAAGAAGAAAAGTTGGAGGCGACCCTAGAGAAGGTATGTGCCATTTGTTCGGCTTTTGAATGAGATCATTAGAAGGGGGCTGAATTGTGTTGTGTTACCATCTTTCTACTGCAGCCACCGCAGACAATCTCGGTCACTTACAAGGATGGCTCAAGATTTCTGAGAGCTTAAGAAGTCCACGTTGGCTGCCAGACCTGCTTGCCTGTGTATTGGCAAACTTGTTTCATTAGTACATTTACTACAATAGAAACCAAGAGGCTAACCGTCATTGGTTGCATCTAACTCACTTTTCATAAGTAATTAAAGCACAGCCTTATCAATCCAATCCAAACGGGAAGTTCTAGATTTTTGACACCTGCAACGACGACAATAGCCACCATGACAAGCAGAGTCCATAGCACTCTTCCGGTACTGGAAACCCGAACGAGCCTCGACACAAAGTTCAATTGAATAGTTGAGGGGTGGTTAAATTCTTTGAGACCACATCTTGTTGATTGGTCAGGCTTTACCTGTACCGTGCCTGCTCCATGCTTTCAAGAAGCAATGTAGCGCTAGCCAGGCTCTCCTTGTCATTTGCTCCACACTTTGCTTGCTATAACGCTGGAGAGCCCACGGGATATGACACGGGGGAATGTGCCGATCATGTTTCAGCCTTCGTCAGCATCGGAAGAACAAAGAACGGCGCTGCAAAAGCCACCTCGTGCCGTGCAAATTGAACAGCTGGGATTGCAGCATACTTGGTCTGGTAAACAAAGACCAGCCCCACATTCTACACAATCGTCGTTGTCGCATGCAGTGCCCGGCGGCAAGCAAGTCTCACAGCAACAGACTTCGTCGCCCGCACATTCGCTGGGACCACATGGGATGAAGGTCACGCACTTGAAGTCACGGCACTCCACTTCAGTTCGAGGGCAAGGGTCTGTTGTGCACAGAAAGACAGGGCAATCTATTGTCGTTCGACATTCTGGGTTCTCTGGCTCCTCAGTATCCTGGTCCGCATTGACCTCATCTGTGTCATTGGTGCCGTCACCGCCGGCCTCATCGGTCTCGTTCGTGTCCTTCCATGACACAAGGTACAGTACTCGTCAGCGCATGATTCATGATTTGATGGCGTAATCTGGGTGATACTTACCTCGTCAAATGTTGCGGGTGGTTCGGGTACGACCCAATACCCATTGCACATTTGCCTTTCCGAACAGACACCACTTGCCTCGTCGCAGCAGAATTCGCTGATACTGCAAAAGTTAGACCCACACTCCTTTACTAGTGTGCATTGGAAATCACGGCAAATGTTTCTCAGGCATGGCTCTTCTGAACAAGCAGGCGTGACGCAGTCATCTTCACTCTCACAATAGAGGAGATCATTGATGGGGCGGCCGGGTTCACTCTCCTCGGGTTCATTCTCCTCGGGTTCACTCTCCTCGGGTTCATTCTCCTCGGGTTCATTCTCCTCTTCCGCGTCCAACGAGCTACAAACTTGTGGACAGCTTCCACCCGGAGGCGAACAAATTCCACAGTTTTCCCCACAGCAAATGTCACCTGGATTACAGGTTTCATCGCCACATTTTTCACATGTGTTTTGATTGCAGGTTGTTCCCTTTGTAGCGCAGATCGAACATGTAGGGTTGCAACAGTATTCTTCCGTGCCGCATTCCGCGTCTCCGCATGGCTCTATAAATATGCATTGCAAGTTGCGACAGACATGTTTCAAACAAGGCTCTTGTTGGCAGGTCACTCGCTTGCAATCTTCATCGCTGAGGCAAGGCTCCAGGATGTTAGTAATTCCAATTGCCTTCTTCTCGTCGTAACAATAATCCAACCCTGACCAGGATTGTTTGGTTTGAAATGGAAGGGCTTGAGAGAGGTGAATAAGATGACTATGTGCACTAGCTCCAGCCAGGTACACAACTACCAACGAACGTACCCTCAATCCCCAGATTATCGCAACCAGGCACTGGACGCACGTCCAGATAAGCCCGGCGAAAGCATTTGAGACTGCCTCGACAGTCCCTATCCCCATCGCTGTGTGTTGGTTTGAGAGAAACTGCTGAGCGAAGTGATGAAACGCTTGTCAACGAAGGATATCAGGTACCTACCAATCCCCTTCACAAACTTCACACGGCCTCTCGAGCGAACACCTTGGCGTTCGAAGTCTTAGGACATACGTCGAGGGCTCGTAGCAGTAATCTGTCCCTGGTGTTCCACTAGTGGCGCAGCCTGGTACCGGAGACGAATGATCCCCTGGTCGCCGGTAACACTTCAAAGACCCCTCGCAGTCCTCATCCTTGTCACAATCCCCATGGCATTGCATACAAGGCGAAGCTGCACTGCAACCCCCTTCTACGTCCGTCAAGAAGGGCTCCATTTCATCGGCTGATGCCAAGTCGTCGAAAGAGTTGGAGGCCGAAGGGCGCAACGAAGGGCGCAGTGTCGGCTCCAAGGAAGGAGAGGGCGTAACTGGGTAGAATGTTGGTGCCAAAGTGGAGAAGATCGTTGGGAACAGAGTTGGTCCTGACGATGGTCCTCCTGTCCTCAAATTTGTTGGTTGTTGGCTTGGTTGGGTAGAAGGACCAACTGAAGGACCAACTGAAGGAATATCACTGGGACTAATGGTTTGTGTTTGGGTAGGCGTTTGTGTCGGTACAGGGGTAGCTGGAGTGAACGTTGGTACGGGGGTAACTGAAATGGAAGTTGGCATTGGGGTAGCTACGGTGGGGAAGGTCGTGGATGGAACCTGAGTCGGCATGGTGGTCGATGGCATTGGACTAGGCGAGCTTGTTGGTTGTGGAGTAGCCCTGGTGGGAGCAGCTGTCAATGGTCCGACAACTGGTTCCTCTCGAAAGTCCAATGCATATGCCGAATAATAGTAGACAGATAGACCATTTCTGTTTTCAATGACGACAGTAGTATCGAGTGGCAGATTGCTAGCGACTTCATCCAACCGCAATATACCGGTGACACTTCGTTTCAGTGCGTTTTCGTTGTGGGTAACCCCACCCACTCCCTGAGCCAACACACAAGCTGCAAATGCTTCCTGGACATCAATGCTGGCAGAAGATAATGCTACCGTAGTATCCACTTCGCTGGGGCCGCCACCTAGCCGTATCAGGAAGCCTCGAAAGCCATCTCCTTCTGCAGCAGTCGATGACAACCTCCAAGAATGCTCAACTCCAGTTTTCAGGGATAGTAACTCTCGAGGCTGAAGAATCTGACCATTAATCTCCAATTGTAGATTGTTTTCCTCCAAGCTACCAGTGGTTATCGCCACGGCTGAACTTCGGTGGTTGCCTCCTACAGCGGCAACTCCACCAGGACAGCCTCCAGCTCCATTGGGGAAGGCTATAGTGCGCCGAGCAAACAGAAGGAGACCGTATACCCCCCAGAAAGAAACCCGGACCCACACGCCTGGGACCATCTTTCCTTTCCTCCCCAATTCGTTGCTACTGGCGATCTGGAGCACAACGCACAGCAAAGTCTTGCCACCCACCTAACCAACTGGACGGCTATCAGGACTTCAGCCGAGAGGATTTGCACATGAACCTCTTAACAACTAGCTAGCTCTCCGGGACGGTGGCAGTGATTGTGGTGCGGCTGTTTGCTGGACAAGGGACAGGGACAAGGGACACGGATCCTCGATGGATGAAGGGAAGCCCATGTATCACGAGCCGCTCTAGCGGCAACACAGTTAATTAAAGGAAATTTTGTCACACTTAGCCTAAATAAAGCTCGTTCCCTCCTTAGTTACAGTCCTGCCGGACGAAAGCGTACGTCGACTCGTCCGTTCCCACTGAATCGATGTTTCCTTTTCTTCATAGGCAGTACCGGTACAGTAGTCTAGCTCGTACTATGGTACATTGCACCGGTGTGCGGTGCTGACTAACTACCGGTACCGATAGGTGCCTTGAGTGCTACTGTACAGGTTTCAAACTAAAGAAGATCCGAAGTCATCAATCGTCCCGTGACCGCCACTTGGTTTACCGTATGATACGTATATGTATTATTCTACAGCGCAATATCACTGCTGTCATCTTCCAACAGTATGAACGTCGTTCCAGAGAAGATTCCGGTTTCTTCTGTCAAACCCACAAGCTAGGCCAGCTATCTAAGCACTGCTTCGTCTGAGGTGCCTCTCGCGTTGACCTCCTCCAGTATCATCGGCAGGATCATAACAGTAATCGATATCTACTTTTGCAACAAAGCCACACATCGTTTAGGAACACATTCCACGTTCAAAGTAACAAGCTGTTTGACCCACAACCCAGACCGTGAACTTACTTCCGTGTTGGTCTCCCGAGCAGCCAGGGACATACTGTGGTATGTTTGATCGTCTAACCATGCACCTGAGGCCTCCCTGGCAGTCCTCATCGGCGTCGCAGTCCTGGAATAGCACGAAGAGACCAAAAACATTATTTCCTGAACGCTTTGCGTAAGGCACGTCCTCTGTTTCTTTCTTTGGTTCACAAACTTACGCCTTGACACTTCAAGCATGGTTTCTCGGCAGAACATGGCTGGACACGAGGGCGGAGAGACTGCGGGTCGGGCTTGTAGCAGTAGTCATAACCTGTCATTGAAAGCATCAAAGAATAGCGTGAGCGCTGAAGTTTTCATTGAAAACATCTATATCTACGTAGCCGGCAGTGGTGTCTTACCAGCCAAGCCCCGCCCATTGCATCCGGGTACCCGACTCAACTCTCCTGCACGTCGGTTCCAGCACTCGAGATCGTCTGCACACTGTAGCATAGATTCCAAGCAGCAGAAGAACAAACAAGATGCGCGGTGTGAGATACTATTGCGGTACCATGATACTTGTTGGCGCATGCATGCCTACCTGAAAATCGTAGTCGCAGTCACCAAAACATTCGGAGCAGGGTGAGAATTGTGTACAGCTGGTCTCCCGGAGTTGGGGCAACGTGGCCGGTCCGCTGTTCTCATAGATCGGACAGTCAAAGAAGTCGCACTTGTTGGCGGGGTTACGACCCACGAAACCACCATTGGGACATGTATACACATCATGTGCACAGACCGCCAAGGGCGGGCAAGGTTCGAATTCGCAGTTCGGTGGCACTCGCCCTACGTAGTCACCCGATGGGCATTGGATGACATCCGCAGCACACACGGCATTTGGTGGGCATTCTTCAAAGGAACAGTGGGGAGGAACTCGGCTCACCGTGGCACCCGACGGACATTCGTAAACATCCAGCGGACAGGCTGCAACTGGCGGGCATTCTTCAAAGTCACAATCCGGTGGGACACGGCTCACAGTGTCACCAGACGGACACTCGTATACATCCTGTGGACAGGCAACCATTGGACATGGTTCAAAGGCACAATCAGGTGGTACTCGGCCCACAATGTCACCGGACGGACATTCGTAAACATCCAGTGGACAGGCTGCAACTGGGGGGCATTCTTCAAAGGCACAATATGGCGGCACCCGGCTCACAATGTCACCAGATGGACATTCATAGACATCCTGTGGACAGGCAACCACTGGACAAGGTGCAAAGGCACAATCTGGTGGCACTCGGCCCACGGAATCCCCATCTGGGCATTGAAAGACGTCTGAAGTACAGGCAACCACTGGACAGGCTTCAAAGGCACAATCTGGTGGCACTCGGCCCACAAAATCACCAGATGGACATTCATAGACATCCTGGGGACAGGCAACCACTGGACATGGTTCAAAGGCACAATCTGGTGGCACTCGGCCCACGAAATCACCAGATGGACATTCATAGACATCCTGGGGACAGGCAACCACTGGACATGGTTCAAAGGCACAATCTGGTGGCACTCGGCCCACGAAATCACCAGATGGACATTCATAGACATCCTGAGGACATGCAGTTTCTGGACAAGGTGCAAAATCGCAATGTGGTGGCACACGGCTCACAAAGTCCCCATCTGGACATTGAAAGACGTCCAAAGTACAGGCTCCGCCCGTACCTTCGAACGTTCCTTCAAACGTTCCTTCAATTGTTCCTTCATGAGTGCCATCATGAGTTCCTTCATCAGTACCTTCCGGCGATGGCATGGGGGTTGTCACGACCGGCCCTGCCGGTTGAGGTTGGTTGGGCGGCATGTCGGCTCTATCAAAGCAGTAGTCTCTTCCAGGATATCCATATCCGTAGCAACCAGGCACTGTCTCGTTGGATCCATTGAATCTATGGAAGCACTCGAGGTTTCCCGCACATTCATGGTCGCCATCGCAGTCCTGAGGAGACACAACGTCAAGTCGAAAAGAGCGTGAGACGAGGATAAGCACTACAATGATCAGTAACAATAAAAAGCCACCACCCAATTACGCACCCCCTCACACTTTCCACAAGGTCTCTCGCTCGTACAGTCTTCTGGCCCCGACCGCAAGACGGATGGATAGATCCAAGGATCGAAACAATAGTCACGTCCTATCAATGCCATCAACATGTGGTTCACAGCAAAGAAAGGTTGAGAACGGTGCGGCAAGAAGAAGCAACCACAATCACACAATCTCCAGCTCTTACCCATAAGTCCATATCCCGCGCACCCAGGGACAGGCGTATAGTCCCATTGATCACGCTGAAAGCAGGCCAAGTGACCTTCACACTGAATGGACCGAAGAACCATGAAAAATTGAGACGACTGTTGCCACTGAGACCACTACTTCAAGGCCAGACATGCAAACTTACATCTAGATCGGTATCGCAGTCTCCTTCACAGACACTGCAAGTATTGTTTTCACTACAGGTTGGAAAGACACTGGTCAGTTCAGGCCATACAGGTTCGGTCGTCGGTCCCTGGGCCAAAACGGCGCTGCCATCATCGTCAAACCAAACAGTTGGTTCCATGACTTGGGGATTAGTAGTGTCGCTAAAGGTCGGATTAAAGGTTGGACCATACGTGGGTTCAAAGAAGTCTTCTCCTACTACTGGGGCAGCTACTGGAGCCGGGTTGTTGATGGGGCGTTCGGTTGGTGCAGTGGGACGTTTGGTTGGTGCAGTGGGACGTTTGGTGGGTGCTGTAGGACGTTTGGTGGGCACCGTAGGTCGTTTGGTGGGAGCCGGAATCGGGGGGTTGGTCACGGGAGCCGTGGGTCTTTTGGTAGGTGCTGTGGGTTGTTTGGTGGGACGAGGAGTTGGTTGTTTGGTCACAGTGGCGGTCACCCCCACGGCATGCAAGGTGTACGAAGAATAATAGTACTCGGATACACCATTGGCGTTTGCCACAACCACCGTGACATCCAACGTCATGGACCGGGATTCTTGACCTACAAACAAACTTCCCGATACGCTGGATTTCAGCAATTTACTTCGATGAGTGGCGCCACCGACTCCTTGTGTCGTACAGACATCTGCGACTTGGACCATGCCTCCCATGCCGGGTAGATTGCCCAGCGACGCAGTGGTATCGATATTGCCATTGCCTCCATCCAATCGCAACAAGAACCCACGAAAGCCGTCGCTTCCACTGTAGAGTTCCCATGTGTGATCTTGGTCGATTTCCACTTGAAAGGGTACCGACGAACTCAGTGTGTTCCCATTAATAGCCAGCTCAATACCATAGTCATCCAAATCGCCGGATTCAATGGTGGGCATGGTCGAGTGGATTCCACCGACGGCTGCTACGCCGCCGGGACAGGAGCCGGCTCCTGTGGGGAATCCATGCACCACATCTAGTAGTACCAGAGAAGATACCACTACAACTACACCAACTGTTAGCAGTAGGGACTTTATCATTGTGCTTTCGATTGTCGCAATAGAGCAGTGTACTGGCTATTTCCACCGTATGGATTCAATTCGCGCCAGTGACCAAAGTTGGGGACAGTTTATGGCGAAAGATGTGGTTTTTTCTCGCTCAGGCTTGTCATGATTGATGCAGGAACCTTCTTCAATCCCTTGGATGTGCTGCTGCCAAGACTCTTGTGGGATGCAACCGACTTCACATGGACGAACGGAAACCTTGGCCAATTTTTTGAAACGTGGATACTAACGTCGCGTGGGGAACAAGGAGAAAATCCGGAACAGATCAAGACGCGTTTAGCAAACTGTGGCGTGAAGGAATGGCGGTCAATGACATCCCGTTGGAGACAATTGTACCAGTGGCATCAATACAGTCAGGCCCCGATATTGTACGACTACCGTAGTTTAAAGTTTGTATGCTATGTTGCCGCCTCTAGCTAGATTGTTTCATTGCCTTTTTTCGGGTTATCCGTAGCCTCATTCTCTACACCATGCCCAAACATTTACATGATCCGCACTTCTGGACTGCTACAGTAAGTCTCGCATGGCATCTGTCCGTCTTGAGATACTGTAGCATACCGTAGCTAGCTAGTCATTCCTGGTACTGGTATGTGAGGAGCAACCTTCACTTGCCAGTTATCTTATTAAAGTGCCTGAGAGAAGACTGGAGCTCGTGTATTGACAGCTCTGCGGGATCCTTGCGAGGTTCATTGATATTTGACAGCTCGACTGGATTGTCACAAAGTGACATCGGCTGTCTCTGCCACGACATGTTCTGACGTTGCCATGACTGCAGCATGCGTGCGTGCCACTACCGGTACAGATGCGAAAGTTACAGTCATCCCCACGGCCCCGGAAGCTTCAGGATGGCCGCTCATAAATCTGGTAACGGCTCTAAAACAGAATAACTTTGTCCAAGCAAAAGTTTCACTGTCATTCCAATTCTCATTGTAAAGCTGTCTATTGCCGTGGCTGCCGTCCCTTCATTCATTCATTCTACATGTACCTACCTTTTGTTCGCAAAAGTTTTCTTTCTTTCTCGATTGTATCTCTCGATTGTATATCATCTCGAATCGCTTGACCATGATGGCGACACAGCAACCAACGACTCATGCGGGTGCTCTTTGGGGTGGTCTCAAGGGCGCCGGCAAGAAAGCATCGATTGCCGGTCAAAAGGCGAAATTGGGTGGCGAGATGCTCTTGCTGGACCAGAAAATCAAGAATCGCAAACAGAATTTTGGAATTGGTCTGTACGATCACTTGGCCAACATTGCCGATGGCGATGCCATGTTTATCATTGACAATCCCGCGTTGGAGAATATTCGAGGACTGTTTGTGACGACCTACAAGGACAACAAGGCACTCCACCAAAAGGTCAAGGGCCACCAACTCAAATTGGCGCAAGTGGCAGAAGAACGAAGGTGTGTCCAATCGCGCCACGGCGGGAAGCTTTCCTTTGACGTTCCGGCCGATACCGTGGGAGAGCGAATCATGAATGCTCCCAAATTGGCTCGTATTGCCGGACAGGAAACCAAAGTCAAAACTGCCAAGGCTGTCGTGGAACGGGAAATGACAGCCAACAAACAAAATTTTGGTTTGGCATTGTATGCTCATTTGGTAGAACTGGAACTCTGCGATCACTGGGTGCCAGAGGATAAGGATGTCCGCTTCCACTACGAAGAATGCAGAAGAGACATTGCCAGATTCGAAATTATCAAGGACGAAAAGGGGGAAGATATTGATGTTTTGGGTAATGAAAATTAATCAATAGATTGAGATTGAGATTCAATGACATTTTGTTTGGACAAAAGTGGAAGTACATGTACGGCGAATAAAACAGATTTATACATTCAGTTTCAAGCAGGAGACCCTCTGGGTCAGCTTTACCTGAGAAGCAGGGCCTTTTCGACTGCTCATTTTTGCTCCGAAAGGTGGGGCGCCAAAACATTGAACCCCACCATCGGCACCGGTACCTCCAGCTAGCTGACACAACTTGAATTTCGAACCGTCGTTGCCTCTGGCTGACCCACACACGCACCCCCACGGAGCACAAGGCATCCTGGCTTATTGTTTCGACGCCTCTGGAACGAAAGGACATAGTCTACCAAAAACAGGGACGCTTGAATCCAGCCTAAAGTGACGAGAAGTACATTGTACCATTTCAAAAATGCCAAGTCAAGGTTGCCTCCACCGGAATTGGATGGAAACAGAAAAAGAGTGCAAATGGGCACTTATTAGGGAAGACGTTTGTCAAAGCAATGCCGAACAACTGCCTTATCTACTCAGTTTTTGACGTCAAAAAGATTAGCCTTTCAACTAACTGTTGCCCATCATAGCTATAGCATACTGGTAGGTTAATTAAGAAAACGCCAACGTTCTACCTTGTCCTTTCACTCCTTTTTGTTGCAAAGTATCTGTTGATTGATTGATTGATTGAATTGACTACACTTGACTTACTTGACGACCTGCACATCATTCATCACATCACCTCCGACTGAATTGGCCCCGCATTTCGGATCGAAATACCTTTTTCATGCGTGTTTCCATGGTTTTCTTTTCTTCGGGCGTGAGCAACTGCCGGGCATATGTCTGCATGAGCGTTTTCATTTCATCGGGATTATTGGGTACGGGTTTGCCTTGTTTTTGGAGCAATTGAATCAATCGATGCGTTTGGATCGTCATTTCAAAGGCCATGAGTTCGGCATCCAAAGTTTCCAACGTAATATCGCACTCATTGGCCACTTTGATTTTTTCCAACTTGTTATGGGAAAGCGCCTCGTTCAAATCCGCCACCACCGCATCGCGTCCCACGAGGGACACGAGCCGTTCCACAATCAGTTTGGTTTGCTTGGCTTTGACCACTTCGGTGGAACTCCGAATTCCCGGCATGCTAGCCTTCCAACTATCCGTCTGTTTGGCCAATCCATCGTGGTAGGCACCCAACGTGAATTTCTCTACCTTGCCCATGTCTTCCATTTGCTCGATGAACGTCTTGCGATTTCGTTCGTCAGTCCAACCACTGAACCAACCCGTGCCACTCGTACTACTAGTGGTACTGGAAAAGGAGGATGTCCGTCCTTGATGGTTCCAACCAGAGGACAAAGGGCATCTTGCCGTCGCCACTACTTGGCATGGTAATCTGGCTCTTTTATGGATGCTGCTTGTTGCTGGTCGGATCAGCAAACCAGTCAATAATGGACGGAGAGACGCCATGGTTGTTATTGGTGGGATGTGGTTGGTTCATAGAATGTGGGTGATGGGTTAGAGTGATGATGTTTGATCCTTCCAGGCCACTCATTTTTGCACACAGCTCTGCTGGTTGGATAGTCATCCATCCATCCCACCGCATGTACTACTGGCACCTGGGTATCCTTTTACATGCATTCCGGCTGATTGGGGGCTACGGTATCTCTGACCTGCACAAAGTCTGCTTGCACAGGGTACAAAACTATATTATTTGCAGGCACAAAGTTGCACAATCGATCTCCGATTACCAACACAGAAGCATTCAGACAGGTTCATTGACATCCACACAAAAGAGAGGTACAATCAAATCCAAGTATAAAAGGGCTAGCTATGATAGTAGTAGCTAGTCTGTGTAGCGGTACAGTAGAAGGCTGAGTGGCTGTTCCAAATTTAACATTCAGATTCAGGGATCCAAAATAAATTTGACAGGAGCACAAGCTCTGACATCCACTGGATGCGTTGCGAGTAGCTGATGGAAGATTTGGGCCACCCAAATGGATTGACAGCCAGGCCGAGACATCTCCAACTGCTTCTATCAATATTACGGTAAACGGCTAGCTAGCTACATGTACCTGGCCAAGACGGATGACGGACAGATGAGAGTCCCCAATCTGATTCATCCAGCCAGTGCTCTTCCACGAGGACCATCAACCTTGAGTCGCAGAGCCCAAAGTTTGCTTGTCTTGATCCACCTCTCTTGTATTGGTGTATCAAGACTGCTCTTTGGTTGCCCCGCCCGCCCGCTCCGAGGTGGTCAGGAGAGTCCATTCCCAGACTCAATCACGAGTCTGTGTCATGTCTCTGCTGGGGCTCTGTTCTGCTTGACGATGCAAATCTTGCAAAATTCCATCTTGCAGTGAGATTCTAAACCCTCTGGAGATCCACTCACTCACACTCATCCTGCCTTTCTGTCATCGCTCCACCCGGCCACTTATCCCTGAATGGATGCCAACACATTCTTATCAAACCCGTAGAAGCAAAAATGTAGCAAAAGCAAACAACTATTCCTTCCTGCACTGCCTCGCTCTGGAAGAAAGGTAGTATTTTAACAATGATTGGCTAGCCACAACTGTGCCTTCCAATGAGGGTTTCACTTCCACTCTATTGATGCTTGAAGACAGGGTAGGTCCACGGCACTTTCAGGCCGTTTACCAAAGCAGAATTCCAATGGCTGCATCGCAGTCCGTGTGGAGTGTGGAGTAAACCATGTCCGCCCAGTGCTTGCTGGCCGGCTAGCTAGCTACTGGTGGCTGATACTGTAGCTACCGCACTACATACGTCATCAGAAGCGTCTTCGTCTGTTCTTGCTGGATCCTTCGACCAGATCCAGATCCTGTCCAGCAGCCGTACACAGCAACCGCCTATGTGACAAGTGCGCTTGCCCGCGTCAAAAGCGCGTTATCGACCATTGACAACCCAAATTATCCAAAAGCCATTTTTAACCTTTTATTCTTCTTTCTTTTACCGAAGAGAACGAGGTAGTTTGTTAGACTCTACTATCTAGCTAGTAGACTCTACTATCTAGCTAGTAGACTCGGTTAGCTAGCTAGACATACTTCTGCCAGAAGTAAGGTACAATGAATAACCCTGGTGCTGCTGCCCCCGATGCAGTGGATCCCGATGCTGCTCCATTACCCAACCACAATCCCATCTTTCATTTGACGGCCGAAGAAAAGCGTCAAGCAATGGATTTGAAGGAAGCAGTCGAAGCGGCCGATCACATTGAAAACTTGTCTGACTTTGACTATGTGACCATGACATTGGGCTGCGACGGCGATATCCCTCGGGCGGTGGATGCCACCTACAAACTCCAATCTTTTCGCAAGCTCTACAATATTCAAGAAACACCCCAAGATGGAGTGGCTGCACTCCGAGGATTGATGCTCTCTCAGCCCGAAACGATTCTGGAAATCTGCTATCTACCCACAGAACACACATACTGGTTCTTTGTGGATTTTTCTAAATTCAGACCGGCATTAGTCCAATCCTACGACGATTGGAGACACTTCCAAGCCGGGGCCTATTACATTTATCGAGCCATGGCCAGCAATCTGCAATCCATCAAAACTGGTGCCATCACCATGATTGAATGTGATGGTGTCACCACCGATAATGTCAGTTTAGAGTTTGAAGAACGAATTTTCATTGAGCTGTTTAGTTACTATCCCGTTCGATACAAGGAAACGTTTTGTTTGCACAGTCCCATGGCCTTTGTCGTATTTCTAGGAGTTATCAAGAGATTCATGAGCAATCGAATGCTGCGCTCCATTCAGACAGCCGCTACGTTTAATGGATACGATGGAAGAGTCGACCAGCTATTCAAAATGCCAACCGTGGAAATTGCACAAGAACGATTGCTAAGTCGCATGGAAACATATCTCACTGAACGATACCAAAATGAACGAGATTTCTCATTGAATGACTGACCAACATGGAACTTGGTGAATCCCAAACACCCCGAACACCCCAATCAACAGAACGAACATGCCAAGCTGGAAAGGAATTTGCCCTTTACAAGCGATCTTGTTGTCAGCCAATTTCGAACCAGCAAGGATTGACCATTCTACTGGTCCGCAGAGGCCGAAGAAGCTACTTCGCGGTTGGCACTGGCATGAAACCAAAACGAGGGACACCTCGGTGGCATTGTGACTCGAAACGCAATTGACGAGGAGGCGCCTGCAATGGATGGCTTTTTCGAAAAAGCTACCTATCCATGCTACAATCTACTGTCGCGTTTTCTTCCAGGCTTCCAGTGGACGCTCTTCTGGCCACATACAGTACCAATACATCTTCTGTTCTTTACAATAGGTGAAGATACATAGGCAGCTTCGTTGATCTTGAAACAAAGTCACGCCTTCAACGCAAGCTGGAGCTTGATTTTCCTCGATCCTTGCAACCAGCCTGTAAAAGGCATCATCCAATACTTGGGCAAACCAAATGTTTACGGCTTTTCAGTTGTAGTCGTTTCGATAGATCCTCATCAATAGCTCAGCAATCGCCGCCATCATAGTTTCAAAGTCATCATCTTCTTCCAATTCAGTGGGCAACAGCGCGAATTGATGTTGTTGGAACGGAAAGGGAACCTGCTCCTTGGGTCGAACCCAACGGTAGAGTGGCGCAGACACAATGAGCTTGGGCTCGAGAGGACCCAACAACGCTCGAATTGCGCCGGATGGGTAAACTCGGAAGCGGAGATATCCCACCAGTTCGTCGTCGTTGAGTGGCATGAGGCGCCCCACGAGCGTCGCAGCCACTTCTCGTTGAAACGAAACAGATGGCTTGATTGGACCAGTTCCCAAAAAGAAGAAATCCTCGAAACAATCCCAGTTTACGTCCCCACAACCAGCAACCATGGCAGATTGGACGCGTTCCAAAAGGATTATGACGAGTGCGAGACTTCCGCGGTGAGGGTGTTGGCGAAGAATGCTGCTGCAAGACTGTTGACGACGACTACGGCCAAGCGACCACGATTCTGGTCGTGCAATCCCCACTGGCAGCTTTTCGGGGTTGGATGGGTCATCAAAATCAAAGGCACATCGTACAGCGGCCACCACCGTCGCGAGATAGGTTACCATCTTTCGACATTTTGCAATCGTCGACCAACTTTCGTAGCCATCTTGGTATCGTGGGTCGCCGCGCGCCTCTCCGGAGCTCACATATTCTTGATCGAGGCTTGCATCTGTGTTACGCCAGGCGCATCGACATGTTCGTTTGCTCTGTGGAACCAAGACATCGAAACAGTTGTCGCAAAGATGCGATCCGATCATGGAATCCAAATGCTCGAGCAGAGGTTGCAAAATGTGTTTACTGTTTTGCTTGTAGATCGAGTAGCACTCCTTGCTGGCTTTTCCAAAGGATACGGCGTCGCTCCAGTGGAGGAAGCCTTGTTTGAGAACAACTTCGTTCAACGCCAGGTGAATAGTGGAATTCAATGTCTTCACGACTGTTTCCTTGTGACGCTTTCGTGGTGGTCCACTATTGCTGGGCGTCGTCGTCGTCGTCGTCGTCATTGTACTACGAACAGAAGGAACCAGTTCCCGCTTGACCTTCTGACTCTGTTCGATCCCAGAAATCAACGCGATCCACTGGTCGGAATAGCGTTGCAGCAATTCCAAGTACTCATTGGTATATTTGTGCCTCGCGAGTCTATTTGTCATGTCGCGTCCATTGACAATGTCTGCGGCCACAACAGAAAGAAAGACTTGAAAGTGACAGGTCTCATCGTCCATCATGGAGAGTGCCTCTGGATCGTCTGGGATGAGAGGATCTGTTTCTTGGAGACCGTGCGGAGCAAACAGCTCCCCCGCGAAGAACCGATCGAGTCCTCGATAGACCTTCTCGCGAAGGTAGTTGAACTCGGCCAATTCATCGGGAAAAGGGGATGCGTCCATCGTTTCGTTCTCGTATACTCAAACAATCAAACAGACAAACACAAGAGGAAAGGATGAAGAGTTTTGAGGCTCGTTTCTTGCACCAAGGATTGATTGTTTGGATCCAAAAAGAAAACGCGAAGCGCCTGTGGTGCATTCGGTGAAATCGGAAAATAACAATAATATTGCAGTGTTGTAAGATCCGTGACTGAAATTAGTCATACTCCACCCATCCGGCAACGTTGCAACGTTGGCATGCAATGTGCTGATTGCGTCTTCGTGGAGAGAGCAGCTGCTATGGACTGGCACTCTTGGCACCAATCATCGCATCCGACAAAGCGACGTTTTGATGGATTCCATGCAACGTCAAGCCATCTTAGAGAATGACACGGATATCAGTGTGTCATAGCCATTGACATCCATCATGAAGAAGCAACATCAAAATTGCAGCATGGGCGGCAAACAAGCAATGCATTGACTGAGTGAGTCGCTCGCTGGAAGCAGCCCAAATCTTTGGATTGACTATGTACCACTAAGGTGCCGGTGAAAGTCCAGACGCTGGTGGTTTTAGGTAAAGGCTCTGGAGGTGCTTCTACCTACTGTAACTATGTAACTATCTAGCTAGCTGGCCAGCTATTTCTATGACACACGGCACTGGTAAAGTAATTTTACCTCGACTATAGCGCAACCAGCTTTCTTTCCTTCCAGGCCAAAGAGACAACTGGGCATCATGGCTATTGGTCCACAAGCCACATGATCGACTGAGTCAACGGGACTTGACTCGACTCGACTCGACTTCCACTCCCACGGCCAAAAGAGGTCGAAATTCTGACGCGAAGCATTCAAGATCGATCTCCTTCGAGATTCGATGATTCGATTCGATTCATTCGCAACAAACAATGGAAGAATCTTCGCGTCAAGATTCGGTCAATTTGATTCAATTTTACAAAAATTGAGGTGGCGAGTCTGGTGCCGCAACAGACTTGCCTCCGGTTGGGTCAGTTTTCCCGCCCAACACTTCAGAAAACACCAAAAAACTACCGGAAGGGAAAGTTCATTTGCTTGATGACTAACATCGTTCTCACCAAGAACACATCAGTTGTCCAGATGAACTCTGAAACAACCACACAAATCTTCACAGCGGCCCATCCCAAAATCCATTCTCACCACAACGAAGCCAACTATGAAACTAAGATCTTGCTTGTCGTTTTGTTCTTTGGCTTTGGCATTGTCGATGCTATCATGCGCCACAGCATTAGCAACTGAGGCGACCACTGCTTCCGCAATCGTTGTGGCTGCCGCCGACTACAGCCTGATGGTGATGCCAGCATCAGGAGTTGACCATGACATGGACGCCACCGACGATTCCAAGACTTCCTCATCCTCCCTCGAAAGTTCACTTCCGCAAACCAACACTACATCTCAAGTTCCTACATCCAAGGAATTTTCTGAAGATTCTTCCTCCAACTTCTCGCCCAAGAAAAACGATTCCTTCAATGATACTTTCGATGATATCGCTGCCGACATCATCATTTGCACATTGGTAGCAGCCTTTGTTGCATTCCAATACCGTGATATAATACATACATGTGAAAGCTGATCGTGTGGTGTCTCAAGATGCGGAGGCTTTCAAACTTGACACCAGCCATCACCCGTTTTTCTTCAGGGGCAACTAACTGTATCACTGCTTATAAACTAACTATAGAACCTTGTGCATATTTTTCTTGTTTGAGACTACTAAAAGAGACTACTTGATTAAGTAAAGTAGTGCTAGCATCGGATTTCCCATCCTCACTATTGAACTTCCAGCCTATGGGGAGGAAGTTGAGCACTTCTATCTAGATGACTAGTCCACATCACTCTCCTGTTGGCATGACGCGAGGTCTTGCCAACCAGCCACTTACTCTGCGTGGAGCTACTCTAGCTAGCTAGCTAGCTAGTAGAGGCAGATGCCGATGAGCCTCGGACGGATAGAGAAGATTTGGCGACCCGCACCAAAGCCCCACTGTTGTGAGAGTGCGGGAAGATTGAAGATGCTTCCTCGCAGCAACTTGACTGTGGACTAGCTGCAGCAGCTAACTATTTTTGCTGGCAAGTGACTAATGACGGTCGTCATCATACCGTAGCTTATTAATCAATCTCAAGTTTTTAGTAGAACAATAAAGGCACACATAACAAAGTGCCATAACAAGAGACAATGGAGTCCTCCTACGGTACCGATACTGGGTTTTTCAAATTTGTTGTTCGCGATGGCTCACTCAGCCGGCCGTACATGCATGGTACTGTACCTGTTTCCCACAACAATGAATAGGGATGTGTCTACTAGCTACCAGCTAGTGACGAAGCAGATGTCGCCCCCCACCAAAGTTCAGATCGTTGGGATCCCAGCAAAAGCTCACACCAAAGAATCCATTTCCACATCCAGGCACCACGGACAAATCTCGTCTTCGGAAGCATCTCAAATCGCCGGAGCATTCGCTGTCATCTCCGCAGCTTCCTTCACACCTTGAGCACGGCCGATCTGAGGAACAAGATCCGGGTCGGACGTACAACACATTCGCGATTGGAGTCCAGCAATAGTCTGCACCGGGGGTGCCGGCTCCTCCGCATCCCAAGACCCGAGTCATGTCATTATCGGGTCGGACAAAACAGCTTAGAGATCCAACACACAAGCCATCATCACCTTGGCAGTCTCCTTCGCATCGACTACAAGGTGCGGCATCCGTACAACCCGTATCGGTGAGATCAGCCTGATCATTGGATGAAAAGTCTTCGTTCTCGGGTGCCGTGGTTGTTGGAGGGCTCATGGGTGCGGCCGTTACCGGAGCGGGAGTGGTGGGGGTCATGGGAGCGGATGTGGTTGGAGACATGGGTAAGGCAGTGGTTGGAACAGGAGCAGGTGACGTTGGGGTTGCAGCTGAAGCATTATTCCCAAAGATACCACCAATAGGAATGGTCTGATTGGTTGCTGTTACATTGTCTTCACGATCAACAGCTATTTCAGAGGCATTATAGCAGTAGTCCAATCCAGCAATTCCCAAACCGTCACATCCCAAGATGGGCGTCAAATCTCCTTGTCCACGTGTAAAGCATGTGAGCCCGGGAGCACACTCGGTGCTATCATCACAATCGCCTTCGCACATCCCACAAGGCAAGTCAGCTGCAGTTGATATAGAGCAGGAGAACCTTGTCAGCTATGCAAATGCACGAAAAGTGAACGATACTTGACACACACACACAAAGCCAGTTTGTTCGCTTACCTGTGCACTCCGGCATGCGAGGCCGCAACGAATTGGGCTTTGGTGCGTAACAATAGTCTCGCCCAGCGACGCCTTTGTTTTCACAGCGCATAAGGAGGAGTTAGCTGGAATCGCAGAACCAGACCAGTGACTGGAGACGCAATGTGGCTTGTCTACTCACCTACGCCAGAACAACCGGGAATGGGTGATGTGTCATCCTGAGGACGATGGAAGCACTCCAAGGCACCGACACAATCGTCATTAGTATCACAATCTAACCGAGAAAGGAGAAAGAATCACGTCAGGTGAGTGGAGAGACACATCCGTCAAATGGGGGCATCCACTGCAGCAGCGAGACCTACCTCCCTGACAAACGGCGCAAGGCGCATCTAAACCAAGAGAAGAATGCAACTTGGGTGAGTCGAAAGACAGCACAATCAATTATTGAAGCCTGCAAAGTACAACACATCAGTACACAGACCTGGCGAACAAGTGGGATATCGCAAGAACACGAATTGTTGCACTGGAGGATCCGTAGGAGGGGCGAACTGTGCCATGGGTGGGCGCGTGATGGGTGGCTGGGTAATTGGGGCATGTGTAATTGGCGCCGCTGTGATGGGTGGAGCGGTAACGGGAGCAGCTGTGATGGGTGCAGCGGTAATGGGAGGATTAGTAATGGGAGCCGCCGTAATTGGTGCCTCCGTAATTGGTGCCTCCGTGATCGATGAAGGTGCAACCCAAGGAAAGACAGTAACTGGAGGAGCTGTCACGGGAGGGGCCGTAATGGGCGGTGCAGTGATTGGCGGAGCAGTTACTGTAGGAGGTCCGCCCACATACATTGGAACAGAAGGCGGAAGGTTGATAGGTGGTGCAGCAGGCGGAAGGGTGAATGCTTCGACTGCTGTGGGTATGCTATCAGAGGGTGAACCAGTGGGCGGTGGGTAGTAAGGCGTGTATGTAGGTACCGTGGGAGAGTCAATTTGACCTGCTGTTGGAACAGTGACCGCATTTGCATGAATGGTGAATCCAGAATAATAGTAAATGCTGTATCCATTTCTGTTCTGAATAACCACAGTGACATCCAAAGGCATGTTCTGACTGGGCAAGTGCACACGAAGGGTTCCTTCTTCCACATTTTTCAAAACATTGCTGTTGTGAGTGACACCTCCTACCCAGTAGGCGTCGAGACAGGCCGCCTCTGCCACTTGTGCAGTGAGACTTGCCGTGGCCAAGGATTGACGAGTGTCCACGTTGCCACTTCCTCGACCCAGACGAACCAAAAAGCCGCGAAAGAAGGTTCCTGCTGTGATGAGTCTCCATCGGTTGTCGGCTCCAATATCAATGTTAAAGGGAACGCCTGGCTGAAGAGCAACGCCGTTGAGCTGAAATTCGATGTTGTCTTGACTCAAAGGACCTGTCAAAACTGTCTGTTGGCTGGCGTGTAGACCACTGACGGCAGCTCTTCCTCCCTCACAGCCAACAGAGCCAGTCGGGAGCGCTGTTGTGATCCATGAGCACAGGCTACCCACAATCAAAAGCAGACGAAATCTTATTGAAATACAACTCATTCTTCTAGGTACAGTAGTCTCTGTTAGAAGAACCTGAGCAACGAACAAGACGTTTTTGGTTAGGCACCAAGTATCACGCAGCACAGTGTCTCTTTCTCTCAATTGGTAATTGTTGCAAGCAATGATGAGACCAGGTAGCCGGCAGCTCACAACCAGCAGCATTGCCACCGAAAGGCCGCAGAAACCCAAATTGTGAGACCGCGAATCAAAGCCGTTGGGGAGAGTGCGCCAAAACTTGAACTTCTACACATCGTGTGCATGATCGAAGACTGTCTAAGTGGGATCACGTTTGCCGTTTTATAGCCAGAATGTGAAGCCGAGGAGTGACTGCTGTTCATTGAAAACGTCACATCCATGAATGACAGTCTGGTATTTAAATTTACTTCTTGAAATACCAATATTATGGAGTTATGACTACACTGTAGTTTTCAATATATGGTACAAAAGGTATCTTTGCATATGCATCAGACCCCAGCTGGCCGTGCCGGTAGACTACTGCTACATTACATCGCACAGCGTACCGGTATGGTCTTGCATGTAGGCAGCAAGCAGAACATTCACTGTTGAGGTGGCTCCTTAGATTGGGTTGGATTGATTTCGCTGTTGCACGCCATAGGAAGAGAGCCTGTAGCTAACGATCAGAGCAGCCTAGACACCCAGATCTACTTGCATCTTCCCGCTACTGTAGTGGTTTGGAAGTGAACCTGCAATTGATAAAAGTGATCTCCTGCTGCCACCGTGAGCTCGCTCGACGTGGGCTTGCCCTACTAGCTAGGTAGCAGACCTGAATGCACCGTCTGGTTGCTGCTTTTAACACCATGCACCCGTACCGGTACAGTATTGGCCACTGACCGTGCTAAGGCAAACGTCAGGAGGTCGGGAATGGCCTCAAAGAACGAAGAAAATGTTGCTTCATCAGCGAGGAAGCCGTGAAGGGGGAGGAAGGCAGCAGCATGTCAAACCACTACATGTACTGGCCGCTCTGCCCTCACGTCTCCTCAAAATAATCAACTCATCTCCGGCAGAGGGGGAAGCCAGTCTCGACCGAACAGTGGGAACTCATCTCTAGCAGTTTCAAGCGAACCTCTTCGAACTTCTAAATGAACTGAAAGCTAACTCACTGATCTGAGACGCCGCCCATGCACCCCGGATTGAATGTTGCTTGTTCACAATTTCCCTTTCCCAATTCACGTCAAGATTGCGCTGTGGAAGCAAGTCATTCGTTAGCTAGCTAGGAGGATAAAGGCGATGAATAGCAACGAAAGTGGCACAAGAGAGCTCACAAGAGCCAAGAAGAAAGACTCGACTCCTCGACTGTCACTCATTCCACCAGGTAAAACGGCGCGGGAGAATCGAAATGGTGGAAGCTAAGGACTTTGCTGTTTTAGTAGCTACTATTAATAGCTACGATGTACCACATATCCATGTAGCCTTGTGTCAGCCTGCGGAAGGAAAAGTGATAAAACACGTACTCTCAGTACTCAGAGTAGTAGAGTAAAAGTCCATCTGCCTAGTGTCCCAGTCGCAGTGCCCGCAGATCTTGCTTTCTTCCCGACTATCTTGCTGCTACTGTACCAGGTACATGTACATGTACATGTACATGTATGGAAGAGCCCTTTTTAATAAGGCAGGGATGATGGGATGATGTTTGCTTGTCTGTCAAGGCTGGCCAGGAAGCAACATGGCAACTCTGATACTCTGAGCAATCGATGCTCATGACCATCATCTGCCACAGTAATGTCATGTGGCATGTGCTCAATACTACTGAATCGAGAAAGGCAAGAATATCGCGTTTTGGGTAGTCTAGCTAGTAGCCCCAGCTATTTTGTTGACTACTCTACGGGCGGGAACGTGTACTACCGTAGCTAGAGCTATGGTAGTAGAGCTAGCTAGCTAGCTAGCAAACAAGCAAGCAGCTGGGTGCTACGCTGGTCGGTGTCCACTGGCAGTAACTGGTGGCGATGTTGGTGTTCAACTACAGAAGCATGGTAGTCTGGGATTATGGCCCGGTTCGGCTGAGAGTTCAAACCTCCATTTCCTAAATCCTGTTAAATGTCCATCAACTTAGAGGTAGCTTTTCTTTTCTTGGGTGAATTTTCAAAGAGAATTGTGTCAAGCTTGAGGTGACTTATAAAAAAGCGGATTTAAGACGTTTTAAGGCAATTCAACCTTGTTAAATCTATTATTTGGCCATTGATCAGAGAGCAGTTCAAGGTTCAAGGATCTGCTTGTCCTGTCTTTCTTACTTCTTTTTGACAAGGCTGTGTTCTATATTCCTACATCTCTTCATTTATGGCTGTACACGAAGAACTAAGAGACGCTTGAACCGTTCATGAATGTAAAGAACCCATGGAGTCCTCGTTCGCAACCAGCTCGCAACCTCTTTCAGTCCTACTTTTCTTTCAGTCCTACTTTGAAATCTTTGAAAACGTCTCGTAAAAGTGCTGGTCCACAGTTCGAATTCAGCACTTCCGTACCGGCAATGGCTGATGCTCTTTGCCCACCGCTATTTTAAAATAGCATGTTCATTCAGGTGGGCGGGATGAAGCAGGGCTTCTTGACCTCTCTGTGTGGACTGCGAACTATCGAAGGTCGCTTTAGAGTTGTTCCAACTAGAACAAACCACTGATCTGTAGCTTGGGTTTCCATCTACTAGTATTAGCTAGCTTGCAAGCGAGATAGAAGTGGACAATATGCAAAAGTTACGTAGAGGGTCCGTTATGATGATGATACTGTGGACTGGTAAGGGCGTGAGTCCTGCTTTGCAAGCCCGAACGTGGTGGCAGATACTTCTGCTGATATGGTGGTTTGTCTGGCTTATGATTCCCTCACTTTGAAGCCATTGAGGGTTGAGAAGATCAGACCATCTTCGAAGATGGGTGTTGGTTCAAAGGGATTGGAGCAGGGATCAGTCTGGGCACCAAAGTGATCTGCTAGAATCGACACCATGCCCGTGTCTTCTTCTGGTTTCATAGGCGGGGAGGAAGGAAGGAAAGAAGGAACTTGTGCGTCAGGGATCATGGGTCCACCGCGGAGCTGTGCAAGGACGTTGTTCAGGCGTCCCACAAGTCGGTCTTGAACCCCGGGATACTGCAGCTGAGAGGCGGGAGATTGATGCGGAGGTTGCTGCAGTTGAGCCAGTTGGCTGGAGCCGGTGATAGGGGGAAGAGAAAGAGTTTGGAACATGTCCTGGTGCTGTTGCAGCAAGCTCTCTTGCTCCCTGTTTTCCCGCACTAGCTTCTGCTTCTTGGCCAGACCCTTGCGATCCTGTCGGCGCTGTTGCTTGAATTGCTTACTGCTCTTGTAGGAATCTGACAGAGCATCTCGAAAGATCTGAGCAGTGGCAATGCGTGCTGCCGAGTCTTCTGCAACCATCCAGCGACCGGTGGAATTGTCTTGCTTGACAAAGCCGGCTTGAAAGGAGCTCTTACCGCGGATCTTGCTGACAATGTGGGAAAGAATATTGGACTTCAAAGCCTTGGTTTGTGCGGCTGAGTACTCCTTAATGTGAGACAACACAACTTCCTTAAAGCGCTTGTTACCAGGGTGGGTAGCCACTTGCTTTCCTCGTCCAAGGATCACTTCATTCTCGGTGGGTTCAAAGGATTCGGGAAGGAAGGGAGATTTACCCTCCTTACCTTCAGTCGGCGAAAAAGTGGCGCTGGAACGAGAATCGATGGACTCGGACTCAGCAGAAGCGACGTTGACGGGCTCATTCATCATGGTCTGAAGGCACATATCGATTTTTTGTAGGAAAGGAGTTGATGGGGGTAGGTTCGAGGATTTGGCTTGATTGTAAGCGAAATCCAAAATTGTGGGATGAAGGAAGTGCTAAGTCTCATTGCCCTTTTCCTCAACTTCACCGAGGTCAGGCTTCATACGCTCCGGTACTTTTGCAGTAGGGCTGGTACTCAATTCTAGCTACTCAGTGCAGTCGTACCGGTAGCTGCAGTTGCTGTAGCTTGCTGTACGCTCAGTACTCTGGGCTCTCTTATCTTTATTATTTGTGCTACTGCCGACCTACAACTACTGTAATAAAAGCGTCAAAAGCAGTCAAGGCAGAACAATGCTGGTAGATCGGCGAGGATCCATTAGATCCACTTGCATCTTCTAAACATGCCAGTTACCTGTATCAACTGCATCTCATCCAGAGCTAATAAGTCTTACGGATCACAAAGAGTAACTATATCTTATTTATGGGTTCTACTCTTGAAATGGAAAGGTCCAAATAAATGTTCAAGTGGTGCAGAAGTGTTTAATGATCCATGATTCTAAGTCTGGGCTTTCTTTGGTGCTTCCGAGGAAAAGGCCTTCGGAATTTCCGAGACAAGGATGACAGCACTAGCGTAGGTCCGTGCGCGTACCTAGGCCGTTCTGAAGCGGCAGCTCATACACTGCATAGAATCCTAGCACGGTACCTGAGCTGTCATTTGCATTTTGTTTCGTACAAATAATAATTGGGGTTGCTGGGTTGTGTGAACCAAAGTACAACCACCATCATTTAAACCAAGGACTCTCGTGATTTGAATTTGTCTCACGAATAGAATTTACCACATCAACTTGTACTCCAGACTTTTACTGCAACTTGTGGGGTTGAAATAAGAATCCGAATCGTAAGCTATTAAGTGAATGATGCTCCCATTTCATTTCCTGACGTAGTTGCCGCCCGAAATAGGAGTGTTCTAGATCTCAATTCAATCTCTTGGGACGAAAAGATGCTTCTCGAAATTGCTGTGTTTTGATTGCTTCATGGGGTATGGATTAGCAATCTTTTCGTTTCATGTTTCATAGGGATGTTAAAACCATACCCATTTTAGAGGCTTAAATCTTTCTACAGGTCATCTGTTTCGTCAGTTTGATATCAAACGTAAGCAGCTCGTAAGCTAACGTACTAGTATTACTTTCACGGAGTCTTTAAGCAAAAGAGTTGACCAATTGGTCTCAATTTCTATACTGGTTCAAGACGTTCAAGAGACAAAATGAGCATTACTGACCAGTTCACTTCGCCGACAGCAAAACATGATTCATAACTCGTTCAATCTACTGAATGAGCACAGCAAACCATCCAAATACCAGTGTAATTTTTGTTTGCTTGCTCTGATCCATGAAGCTTGTTTTCCGCGGTGGACAGGCTAAATCGAATGCTTACGCATCACGCATGACAGCTACATGACATAGCAGGTTGGCTCGGAAGCTATCTTGCATCTTTATTGCGGAGTTTGCCAAGGCTTCAACCCAGCAGAAGCTGCTTGAGCTGGAAAGGCCTTGATAGTCCGAAGAAGAAAGCAGCAGCAGCAACCGTACCGGTATCATACCACCATGGTACTAACTAGTATGCATAGCTTGGAGCTCGACACGTTCAGCCTATCCACGGGGTGCCAGCTGCAAGAACGTATCAGGTACTAGTACAGTACCAGTATGCATACATCATGTAGCGGGCTGCATCTCAGACTGTCCCTGTCCAGCTCCCTGTCCCCAGCACCCGACAGATACCAGCTCAATGCAAGCTACTGCTATGCATAGATAGTCACCAGCAGCTATCAGCTCAAGCTCACCGACAGCAGCCGGATTATTTCTGTTTTGCTTCCCCAGAAGGCCTAGCTAGCTAGTAGCTAGTAGTAGCTAGTAGCGGCTTTGTTGACGAACTCGCAGCTACTATAATAAGGTGTCGAATTTTCAAGTCAAGGATGTACTAGTAGTTTGACACCAGTTTTACTTGTCAGTGACCTTTACTAAGACAGCCAAATCGTATGAGCCAACGAAGGAACCTGCACGTTCTGCTGGCAGCTCAGAGTAGCTGGATACTAGCAGGCAGCCACCAGGTACCAGCATCTTGATCTACCTATTCGTTCTTCAGATTGAAATACACGTAAGAGACAGAGTCTGGTTGAAGAACTTGCTGGCTAGCTAGGTAGTCAATAATAAGTTGATTTGTTATTATGAGTAGGCCATATGTATCTCCTGCCTGCTGTTTATCAGCTTCATGCTTTCCTTGAGCAGGCGACATTTTTGTGGCTGCCACCCAGTGTGCAACCAATTTCAACGATCCCAGGCAGCCAGAAAATCAGGCTTGGAAGTCCGGCACTAGCTGGCGAGGCAGTGCACAAGCCAAGAATCTCCTGTTGCTGCAGGCAAACCGCAAAGCTGGAGTCGAGTCGGCTCATGTGGCTGATTCCCCATGTACCGGTAGTAGTGCTGACGTTTGCTATGCTGCGGCCTACCCTTGCTAGCTAGGGCCTGCACCTTGGTATATCATCCACCAGTGCGGTCACCTTGCGCCATCGAAGCAAGGTCACAGCTTTTAAGCCATCGCCAGATCGTTCCCAAACAATGCATGGAAGCGGACGAATTCAATTGGTTCCAGCTTGCCCAGGTCGTTGCCTTGGTTCTTGCTTGCCCCAAACAACGAGGATGAAATGGATTGCGGTGTCGTGTTGCGCGGGAGTGGATCACTGAAGTATGATGGATCCACATCGACGACCTGCTCGGAGGAGGAATTATCATGGTCTCCAGTAGTAGAGATTCTGGTTTCGGAAATGGGTGTGGGCTCAAATGGGTCCACAGTCAAGTCGACAGAAGCTTCGAGGCGAGATAGCAATGTGGAAAGGCCATCAGGGACGTTGGAAGGGGAGGCAGCTGCACTCCAACGAATGTCCAGGCTTGGCAATTCTGAACCTTGCACATCACTCGTCCGCGTCTGAAGAAAGCTTGAGAAGCAGGTCTCTACGGTTCTCTCAAAGCTGGCCGACTTCTGCTGTCTGCACGAGCCCTTCCGGTCTTGACGCCTCTGCTGCTTGAAGTGCTTGCTGGAGCGATAGCTTTCAGATAGTAGATCTCGGAACGACTAAAGACGAGAAAGCAGGGGAAAAGATAGCATGTTAGAGGCTCGACCTTTTCAATGTTTCTGTTGCGCGGTATACCGTTCTCATAGTCAGTCACGTACCTGAGCCACAGTGATCCTAGCTGCAGCGTCCTCAACGATGCGCCATCGTCCAGTTTTGGAATCTTTCTTGACAAACCCAGCTTTGTATTCGCTGTCGTTGCGGATAAGAGTCACGACCTTGCTCAGAAGGCTCGACTTGTGCCGCTTGGTTGGAACAGCACCGTACTCCTCGACGAATGTGGCCACAATTCTGTGAAGGCGCTTGTTGCCGGCATGTTCAGCAATTCTTCGCCCTCTTCCAATGATCACTTCATACTCTGTTGGTGCAAAGGATTCAGGTAGGTCAAGCGATGAGGGCATCATGGTTGGTGAATATGAAGCAAATTGAGGGATGAAGCGAAGAAAATGTCTTTTGTCAGGTACTGGTAGAAGGCTTGGTTTTGTGGGCTCGTCGAAATTGTGAGATTGTGTTGAACCAAAGCTTCATAAACATAGACAAATAATCAAATAATCTTAGCGTACGAATCTACGTGTCTACGTTTGTCTACCGTACCATGAACCATGAACGATGAGTGAACAAGACGATTTGCACAACGCGTCGCTCCATTCAAGTCCTGAGAAGCGGATATTGTTTGAAGCAAAGATACTCTCACAAGTGACACGTTATAACGTGTTGGATTGAATAATATCACGATACAACTGATTACAGGGCATGCTTTAATAATGTTCATGAACCTGGAAGCATTAATTCAATGTAGGGCTGCCCAAAGAAAATGCGTGAACTACTCTGGCAACCAAGAGAGGCAGTGTAGCTTTAATGTGTCCAATTCAGGGAGAAGTCAGCTCCCTAAGAAATAAGACGCCAAGATGTAGCTATAATTGTCGGTGTCGAGGTCTTCGAAGTACAAAACGTTTGATGTGCCTTATTTAGTCAGAAGAAAAATGCGGATCACTGGAGGCAGGCTGTTGCGTACGATACGGTAGCGTACTAGCTAGTATGGTAGCTGTGGCCCCTATAGCTGCATTGTTACAGTCGATGGGTTGGTACCGGTATGGTGTTAGGATATGGTAGTCAAAAGATGGCTACTAGTACCGTACGCTGTGTCGTTCCCTGCCCACATTTTTCTGGCCTTCTGCGATCAGAAGTCAATCATTTGCCACTTGCACCACTATTTTCAGGACTTCCCTTCAGAGCAGGGATTTGAAGCCGAGAAAGCTGTTGAATCTGTTGAATTTCACTCATCACGCTTCAATCCCCTCAACCCTCCCAAGTCGCAAGCTACCGCTACCGGTAGCTAGTCAATGCTTCTCTTGCGCAGCTTTTGCTGTATACCTGGTACCACTCAGCTTTGTTCAGGACCCAAATCATCCCCCAACAACTACCAACTACGAACTTGCAGTGGTCAAACCAGCTTCAAGATTGCTACCTAGCTAGTACTGGTACTCAGAGTACCAGTACCAGTACTAGCTAGTAGTGCGGTAGCGGTAGTGGTGTACGTAATAGACTGCACATAACATATTTTCTGAAAGAGAAAGCTCGCACTTTCTGGATCATTATCCTTGTAGATCTAATACTAGTAAGATTCATGTGCCCTCTATTAAGCCCGAGTGTCGACATTCATCATGTCAAAAGGCTGATATCATTAGCTTATTCTATGTCTTTTCTGAGAACTCTGCGCAATGGAGCAAGTTCAAGGGTAATTGTCTTAATTTCAGTTGCGGCATACGCTGTCACTGAGAGCACAGGCCAAATAAAGGCGATTCATACGCACATTTTCCGAAAGTTGAAACATGGGCCGGTACAGCTGATCTTACCATCATCATAGATAGCTAGCTCCATCATCCATCATCTACTGCATTCCGAATTACAAGACTATACTAGATACTAGATACTAGATAGCTACATGAGCTGGCCAGCCATCCAGCAAACCGTAACATTTGCGAACGGTCCGCGAACCAAGATCTTCGAGAAAGTGGCCCTCTATTAGTTTTAGTTGGCAACTTGATGAGCATGTTCCTGTTCCAAATTCCAAATCCAAGGCTCTGGATTCTGGATCTGCTAGCTAGCTAGCTATGTCATAGTAGAGGAGATAGAGCTGGAGGAGATGTAGATACATCGGCGAATGTTGATGGACGGCGAGGTGATAAAACAGCAGCAATTCCAAGTGCAACTTGATTTAGCTAGCTCCACTGGTTCATTGGAAAATAGGTCGAAGGAAGGGGCAGGAGCAGTGAATAAAACCTACTTTTTTGTTCAAGGACATCAGTCGCAGGCTGTCGCAGCCACCGCAAACTGCAGGCGAGATGGTTGTTGCCAAGTAGGCTAGTGCTACCGGTACAATTAGCTAGTAGTACTCTGAGTAAGAGTTTGAAGGGGCATTTGAAGTGAATAAAATGTACATTTATTGCTGTGAATGAGCAACATTCGCCGGTAACATCAACTTTCAACTACAGTAACTGGCAATCGTAGTGGCGAGGTGGTTGGTGGTTGCAAAGGGCTGCTGAGAAATCTCATCTTTCGAATCTTCTTCGATCAATTGGGGTCTCTATTGGTCCACTTTGGACTACTGCCAGCAATAGAGCTGGTTCTACCAGCAGCCCGGTAAAATCAGGATGGATGGAACATTCGAGCAGTAGCAGAAATCTGTTGGTGAAGGTGAAGAAAGCGTAGAACATACATGCGAGAAGGCTTGTTCGCCGGAGAAAGACATTGCTCCGACGGTCGAGGGCCGAGTGAGTCTGCTCGAGCGAGCGAACGAGTGATGTAGTCACTACAGGTTGCAAAGCAGTATGCAAGATGCAACCACGCAACCAAGCAACCCTGGAAGAAACCCCCAAGAGGATCGAGTCAGAGTCAAGTCAGCAATGATGGGAAGGTCAACTCAGCTGGTCATGTTCCGCAGGAGTGACCTAGTAGTTTGCTGTACCGAGGCTGTGAATGCATGATGCCACTACCACAGGATGTCAGCATCACTATGCATATTACCAGCCCCACTCTGCGCCAGATAGTATCCACAGTACTCGAGTATACAGTATGACTTCCACCAAGGTCACAAGCAACAAGCAATGAAACAGCTACCCGCCCTCCATCTAGTCCAACAACAAAATATTGGAGGAGGACAGGCATTTCTTGGAGCTTCCCTGTCCGCACACCTACATGTACCGTATCCATCCCCTGGCTTCATCGCTCAGTGAGTGCTCAACCGTAGCTTCTAGGAGCCACTTCCCCTACATGTCTCCTACATCGCGTAGGCTGAGGCGGTGGCTGGGAGTCAAGTCGAGTCTTGCTGCCCGTGGGTAAACTACAGGTTTCCTTCAGGTTGAATGCAGGCAGCTTTTCAAAGTTTGTAGCGTTGGGTATGTCTGACAAACCGGGTTTGCCCTGATGCCAATGTAGGCCTAGCTAGCAGTGGAGTTGTAGCGGGGCACCTCCTATCCTAGCTAGAGCTGCAATGAGCTTGTCTTTGGGGTTGGTGCCCGTACGTGGCTGTACTACAGGTCTATAGGTCTGGTACGATGGCATCCAGGCAGGTTTTGTGTCTACTAGCAGCCAAGGCACAACTAGCTGGCTGAAGTGCCCCAGTTGAAACCGATTGCTACATGTGGCTCGTCTGCACATCATGAGATGCATACTAGCATATTATGCCTTTGATCTTTCTTAAAAATTAGTTGAAAGCAAACGAAAACGGGTTTTCTCTAGCTAGCTAATAAGCACTCCATTCATCCATCAATTCGACCGCAGCATTCACCCATTCATCCAATCAATCAACGAAGCTGTAGTTCCTTGACTTGACTGCCAACCATGTTCGTTTCGTTCGTCTCATTTATTGCTTGCTTCCTTCCTTGGATCCATGTATGTCATCTATGTAAAGCAAAGTAAACTCCTGTTGTCACTCCATGGTTTCCACAATAAAACAATCCACGTATGGTACCAAACACGTAAGCCTTGCACGAAAGAGTGTTCCGCCTGTCGTATGCTAGCCTGCAATTTTCACACATCTCCCGCAAGGTTCCAATTCTCTCCTCCTCCTTGTGTAGCTACGAAGCATCACCACATCCATCCTTCCATCCACAAGCTAATACAAGAACCAGCGTTTCTATCCATTGGTAATGGCCTTTTTCTTTTCGCCATTGGTGATTTTCTTCTTGGGTTCCTTCTTTTTGGCCGCTTTCTTCTTGTCGTCACCACCGCCATTGGTTAATAATTTCTGTCCTTCCTTTCCACTGGTGAGCATCTTTTGGTCCTTCTTTCCGCCACCAGCATTTTCGTTTGGCTTGGTCCAATTGTGTGTTCCCTTTTCGGGCATGTCGGTTTGTCTCATTTTTTCCTGTGATCCATCGGGTCGTGTAATGATGGTTTCGGTAATGGTTTCGACGGTGCCATCGTCGTGTTCAATTTTGTGTGTTTTGGTTTCCATGGACGAGGGACGATTGTTTCCAGGAGGTGGCTTGTTGTTGGCAACGGCTCCATCACCACCACCTCCACCACCGCCCTTGTCACCCTTGTGGACTGTCAATTGTTGATCTTCCTTTTTTCGTTTGAACAGAGTGAGAATCCCCCCCTTTTTCTTCTTTTCCTTTTCTTCGGGTGGCGCATTATCGCCCACTCCTCCATTTTCCAATGCCAGCGGAGCGTTCTTTCCACGATGATGAATATCCTTGCCGGTGAGTTCGATATTATCCCACTTGGCACCGGGATACTCGTACCCGAATTCATCCTTGAAGGCTCGTTTGAAGACTTCATAGGGATCGGAAAAGTGCATGGGTTTCTTTTTCTTTTTCTTGTTTTTCTTTCCAAACCAGGATTTGCCCGTCTTTTCCGTGGCGACCACCAACGCGGTCGATCCGGCATTCCGAGAGGGATCAAAGGGATAATCGTACGTGGCATTGCCATCAAATCCGGGTTTCTCCCATTCGTCATCATCGTCGTCATCGCCTTCGTGCTCGGCTTCTGCTTCGGCTTGTTGTTCGTCGTATTCCTTGCGCTTTTCGTCGTCGCTCAACAATTCGTACGCACAAGCAATGCGGGCAAAAATGTGATGTGCCTTCTCGCGTCCTTCCTCGGTACTCTGCTTGTCGGGGTGATGTTGCACGGCCAACTTGCGGTATGCTTTGCGAATCTCGGACTTTTCCGCTTCTTCCGAAACCCCTAGAATCTCGTACGGGTCGTCGCCTTTTTGCATCTTGAGTTATATTATTATGGATCAATCAATCAATCAATGGACTGTGGTGGGTATGCGGAGGTACGGGTAATAAAGGTAGATTCAGCAGAGAAATGACACAAACTACTAGCCAGCTAGAGTATCCGAAGAAGCAATCTCTTTCCTCTCCGACTCTCTGCGTAGGATCGTCCAGAAGTTGCTCTTGTTTGAGGTCTGCCGATGTCGGTACCGTATTGTAGGAAGAGCGATCAGCTTGATGATGCTCCCTAGTACAGAACAACAACCAACAAAAAGATTCCACAAAGCAGCTTGCAAGATCGGAAAAGGTGACATTCAAAATTTCAAAAATGACTGTGACCAGCCTTAACACTAACCAGTGACTCTGTCTTTAAAGCTTCTGAGTACCGCTTATGTGAAAGACTTAGCAATTTACGGTTAAAGTGAAGTCCCCGAGTCAGCCGACTGCCTCTTCAAACGGATCTTTCTAGCTTTTGGTGGATCTTTTCGCACATTTCTCGTTTCTCGTTTCTTGTGCTCGTCAAAGTTGGTCCTTCGTAGAAGCAGCTACTGGTACACATACCGGTATCTCAGTTAGAGTTTGATAGAACAATGAGACTTCATCTACATGTACAACTAGTATGGCCGTTGTTTCTCTTGCTACCACTGCTGGCCCAGGTCCATTCCTTGTCTTCTATCAGTTGCCGTAGTATTCAAACGAGAAAGAGCACTCTCTATTCCAAAGATGGAAAACACGTCATTGGATCTCTGGTGGAACGACGCGACGTCCACAAAGCAAGGCATGAAGTGATACTACTATCAGGAGCAGATTCGTCGTCTTCTCCTACTTTGCTGCAGTTGATAATTCCCTTTTTCGACCAAGCCGACAGTGTCGGAAGTTCCATATGGCCATCGTGTTTGGCCGGTGCCATTTTACTGTGTCACAGCCCGACACTCCAGCGGGCGTTACACGACAAGAGAATCCTCGAGTTGGGGACCGGATTGGGGTTGGGCGGTCTCGTGGCGGCCGCCGTCACGTCGCCCAAGGCGTGTGTCTTGACCGACAATGATGCCGATCTGGTACAACGACTACAAGATCACATCATCACGACACAACAACAAGAATCAGAACAACAGACCAATGATTGTGACATTTTGGCGAAACAATTGGATTGGAGAGACGACAACAATCATGATGATGACGACGACGACGACGACGGTTACGATGTGGTGTTGGGATTTGACGTTGCCTATTACTATCACTTGGTCGCTCCCCTCGTTGCCACAGCCCGGGCCAATCTGCCACCCACCAAAGAAAAACAGCTGCTCCTCGTCCTGGGACAAGCCAATCGAGAATCCCAGTGGCAACTCTACCATCATGTACGGGATGGAGGATACAATCCCGTGACGGATCTACACGAACCGCCCTGGTCTGAAGTCGACAGTAGTACCACTAAAATGTTATTGTATGAATTGCAAATGCAAACGTGGCAAGACGAAACTGTAACAGAAGAAGAAGCTCCTGTTGACGGCAACATTCCCATTGCCGCATTGCTACACACCACGGAGGAATCATTAGTGATGATCACACCTCACGATTATGTTGCCACAGAACAAGATGAAGAAGCGCAAATGATGTCCTTCTAGTACAGTACTGAACTACGGTATCGTATCATGGCGGGGATAGTGCCGGTATTGAGCGGAACAAGTACGGTAAGTGGCGGCGGCAGCGTGAGGATCAGGACACCAATAAGTTGCCTTTTTAACTAGCTTTCAATTTTTGGTGGTTTGTCCAACAATTCCCAATGGGTCGTCCGACAATGTCCCAATTCTGAGGTGATCGACGGCGATGAAGGATTGATTCCATCCAGGGATCCGATTGGTTCAGCGATGCCAGCCAAGTACAAGACATGGATTGGTGCCGCTTCCGGTATAGTGGAGCTGGCTAGTAGAAGAAAAAGGGCTCGGACACCGTATCGAGCTGGGGAGCGTTCGTAATTCATTGACTCCTTCGAATGTCTGGATTCAATGATTTCAATCATTTGATTGATCATTCAGGAGATCGCCCACGTAGTACAATCAATTTTAGAACAGGCCACAGTGCCTCCAAAGAGACGACAATAGAACTACTATGCATACCCCTCCTGCACCAGCTGACCCCGGTATGATTGATGACCTACACGGCATGAGTTACTGCACAAGCATGACTGTTATGCCAAAGCTTTGGACGAATGCCGTTTCATTGCCTTTCAGCCAAGACATGGTCTGCCCAGTTGTAGGTTTAGCGTCAAAAACTGGTTGCAACAATGGCCTCAGTAGCGGTTCTCATCAGTGGATCATTTTTGTTCAGGTTTGACTTTCATGGCATGTGTGATGTCGTGCTGATTGATGTGCCCAACTTTGCGAAGCATCTCTTCTTGGACATCCATGTCAGGACCAAGATCCGCTGGAATTACTCATCTATTGAGGCTGCAGCTCTTAATAAACTTGACCAAGACCTTATCGAAGGACTTCACAAGTTGCCGCCGAGGTGCAAACTATCGAGGTGCGGATTTTGTGCCACCGAGGTACGGACCCTAGAGGTGCAGAGTCTTTGCCGCCGAGGTGCGAACCCAGGAGGTGCAGACCCTAGAGGTGCAGAGTCTTTGCCGCCGAGGTGCAACCATAGAGGTGCGGATTTTCTACCACCAAGGCGCGGACCCTACCGGTAGAGGTGCATAGTTTTTACCGCTGAGGTACGGACCCTACCGGTACCGGTACTAGAGGTGCGGATTTTGGCCGCCGAGGTGCGGAGGTGAGACCCTGGAGGTGCGGATTTTCTGCCACCAAGGAGCGGACCCTAGAAGTGCAGAGTCTTTGCCGCCGAGGTTTGGACCCCAGACGAGAGTATCAGTATCAGCACCTTGAAAGAATCTGGTGTCCATCAGGATTGAATTCATTCATGCTGGCAAATGCACCACATTTTGGAATTTGCAGTGGGATCATGGGATTGTTCGGGGGCACATGGTGGCTAGGAATGACACTGCTCTCGCAAAAGGTGTCGAAGCACTTGCTGGCACTTCAATCACTGGTACCATCCCTGACGGCCTTTGTGGGATTGACTATCTTATCTTTGGTTGCTCTCCAACTCTGTGCGGTTGCATTTGCCCTTGCCACGTGTCCTAGCTGAGATGTGTAGAGCTTTTTAGCTGAGTTGTCTTTGGACTACAACCCACTTCTCATAGTTAGTTGTTGAAGGAGTGTTAGTTGCCCGAAAGTTGGAATTTTAGAGAGCTGGCCCGTGTGTGTAACACAGGCAACAGATTGCAAACCCAAACTCCGATTGCCGCTGTGGACCCAGTGTGCATGCGAACAAGGATTCCCAACGTATTACAAGATGACACTTACCCACCACCCTCCTCAATAAGACCCGCCAAGACCCCCGGCAAAACAACACAACACCCTCATACATCCCCATCAAGCCAACAGTCCTCTCGATCCAACTCTCCAACGGGCCAGCTCCACACACCATAGCTCAAGCACACCACCAACTAACACATCAGCCACCTAC